TAATACCTTAGGAGCTCCGACGTGCTCCCCATCACTAGCTGCCTTTAGGTTTTGAATGTTAGTTGGTGTGCTTCGGAAACAACTACTATTAGGAAACCAACGCCCCCGAAGGCGGATGCGCCTCCCAGGATCATAGATTAGTCAATACCCGAATTTTAGCAATGAAGATGTTTCACAATAGCTGAAGGTGTCCAACCTCATTATCCTGTAGTGACATTTATCCCCCCCCCCCCCCCCCCCCACGCGCCGCGCAGACCTTCACCAAGCTCGTCGACCACCCGACCGTCGCCATGCTCCCCTCGCGCTACACCTACCCGGAAGAAGCGCACCACTTCCGCTCCGACCCGCGCTCGGTCGGCGCGACCGTCCTCCTCTCGTTCGACGAGGCGCTCGTCGACGACCCGCGAGCCGGGACGCGCCCTTACTTCCAGGGGAGCCCGCCGCCGATCGCGTGGTACCGCGACCGAGGGAGCGTCGACTTGACGAATGGGACGGGCGCCGCGGCAGACGACGCGCCGCCGAGGATGACGGGCAGGACTTGGTTCAGCTCGCTCGGGCACACGACGGCGTTTTGGGAGGACGACCTCAACTTGCAGCACGTCGAGGCCGGGTCCGTCTCGCCTTTTCTCTCTCGACTCTCGTCGTCAGGCGAGCACTGACTCGTGTCCTCTCTGTCGTGCAGGCTGCGCTGGGCGCTCGAAGGTATCGACGACGACTCGACTGCCTCCCCATCCTCGAGTGCGACCTCGTCCACCGGCGCCTCCTCGACCGGCGCATCCTCGTCCTCTCCAGCATCCTCAGCAGCACCTTCCACCGCCTCGCCGTCCTCGACCTCGAGCGCTACCCGCATGCACTCGCCCGCTCGCGACGCACCGACCCTCGCGCTCTCTGTCCTCGTCGCCGCGGTCGGGTCCCTGTACTTGTCCCGCCTCGCATAGAGTTGTGCAACGCGAAAGTCGTTCTGTCGTTGTCACACTAACTAGTTACCGTGCTCGGCCGTTGCTCAGGGCCGAGAGGCCTGCGACCGCTTTGTTGACTGAGAGAGAGAAAGCGCGCGCGAACGCGTCGTGAGCGCGTTGAGGCCTGACTTAATGCGGACGGTGTTGCGGGCGGTGAAGCGCATCGTGGGCTGGATGGACACGCCAGAGGGCAGCGTAGATAGCTGTATGAGAGTTCAGGGACGCGCAAAGTGCAGCTCAACGCGAGTGTGACGGGCGAGACGAGGAGCGTGCCCTCGACATCGGCTTGGCTCGCCAACGGCTCGCTCTGTCCACCTGCTCGCTCGCCCGCGCGCTCTCTCTCTTGCTCTGTCTTCCACCACTCCTTCAGTCGCAGGTCGCCCCGTCCTCTCCTCCTTATCTCCAGACGAGGTGCGTCCTCCTCCTCCTCCTCCCCCACTCGCACCTCTCGCTGACCCTTCCCTCCTGCAGCCGGTCTCGTCCCCTCTCCCCTTCAGCACACCTCTCGTTCCCACCCTCCTGTAGCTCCCCTCCCCCCCCACACACGCGCCACCATGGTCTCGCTCTTCGCCCTCGCGCTCGTCGCCCTCCCTCTCGCCGTCACGGCCTCGTCCGGCGCGCCGCACTACTCGCACCCGCGCCGCAACACGGCCGCCGCCCTCACCGCCGCCGCGGCGCCGCACGCCCGCGCCGCCGTGCGCTACCGCGCCCTGCCCCGTACCGGCCGCCGCCTGTCGAAGCGCGGCGCAGGGGGAGGCGCCGGCACCGAGGCGACGCTCAAGTGCCTCACGGCGCACTCGTTCGCGCTGTGTGACGGCGACAGGTGCACCGACATGGGTGCCGTGGCTGGTGCGTCCTCGTGTTTCTCTCTGCCTCGAGCGCCGAGAGAGTGGTGGGCGACTCGACGAGGCTCACTCGCTTCCTCCCTCCCTCCCTCCCTTCCTCCCGCTCTCGTTCCTCGCGACAGCCGGCACCATGTGCAAGGACGGCGCCATCACGTGGGACACGTCGTCCGAGGCCTCGTCCGAGGACTCGTCGGCCGCCACCGTCAGCTACGCCGAGATCCCGTCGTCGTCCACCGCCGCCGCCGCTGCCGTCGAGACGCCCGAGCCCTCGTCGTCGTCCGAGTCCGCCGAGGACGAGACGCTCAGCGCCGCCCAGCCGCTCGCCAACAACGTCGCTGTCAAGACGAGCTCGGCCGCCGAGCCCGCCGCCACCGCCGTCGATTCGGTCCAGCTCAACGTCGGCTCGTCCTCGTCCGACGACGACGACGACTGGGAGTGCGACTCGGACGACGTTTCGTCCTCCTCGTCGACGGCCTGGACCCCCGCCGCCTCGTCGACCACCACCGTCGACGACGTGCAGCTCAACGCCAAGCCGACCACGACGACGACCCAGGCGCCCGCGCAGACCTCGGCGGCTTCGTCCTCGTCGGGCGGCGGCACGACCTACACCGGTCGCGGGACGTACTACTACCAGTACGGAACGGCCGGGTCGTGCGGCAACGTCGCGTCCGACTCGGTGCGTCCCCTCCTCTCCTCCTCCTCCTCCTTCTCAGCCTCTCGGGCCCCTCTCTGACCCTCCCGACGCCTCCTCCTGCCTCGCCTCCCCCTGTGCAGGACTACGTCGTCGCCCTGAGCTACACGCAGGTCGACGGAGGAGCGCACTGCGGCAAAAAGGTGCAGCTCACCAATACGGACAATGGCAAGACGGTCACGGCTACGGTTGCCGACACGTGCCCTGGCTGCGCGTGGGGAGCCGTGGACTTGAGTGAAGGGGGCACGTTTCGTTTCCCTTGTTCTCGAGGCGGGCGAGGAGTCCTTCCCGCGCGGAGAACTCGTCCTGACCCTTCCTTCCTCCCCTCGCAGCCTTCCTCCAGCTCGGCACCCTCGACCAGGGCGTGATTCCCCTGTCCTGGAAGTTCTTGTGATCGGCACGAGCGTCGCCACCAGAAGAAGAACGACCCCCCTCTCCCGCCTCTCGTTGTTGTCCTCCTTCCTCGCCGTGCTGTGCACGCGCCTTTCTCTCTCTCTCTCTCTCGGTCTTAGCGAGCGCCTCGACGGCTGCTGCAACTCTTTTTCCCTTCTCTCTCTCTCGGAATCGCGAGCGCACAAAGAAAGAGAGAGAAACGAGAGATGCAAAAGGAAATGTACAACGCCTCTGCTCCTTCCCTGCTCTGCTCACCGCCACGCGACGGGTGCGTACTGCGCCAGAGGCCCGAGCCAGAACCGCTTGCCGAGTCCGATGTCGAGGTACCGCTCGAACACTGTGCGCCGAGGCCCGGTCAGTCGGCGCTCGAGGGAAGAGTCGGGGCTCGCTCGAGGGAGGGAGAGAGAGAGGCGAGGGGACGCACGCGAGTAGGCCCACTTGCGCCCAAAGTACCGCGACACCCACGGCACGGCGACGAGGTTGACCAAAGCCTGGAGCTGCCGCACGCTCTCGTCCCACTGCAGCTGCGCCTCGTGCGCCTCGCGCTCGAAATCCCACGACGACGACGACGACGTTGTGCTGCTGGCGTCGTCCGAGTCCGAGTCGGCCTCGGGACCGGGTGCGCTGCCGCCCTCGTCGTCGTCGAGGTACGCGGGCGCTGCGCCCGCCCGTGGTGCGCCTCCTCCTCCTCCTCGCGCAGAAGCCGGCCCATCTCGTCGCCCGTCGCTCGCCCGTGTCGCGGTCGCCATGCGGGGGTCCTCCTCGAGTGCGGTCGTCGGGGGTGCTGGATGGTGAGCTGTTGGCGCTGGACGAGCGAGCGGGCCGGGGACGAGGGCTGGTGGGGAGGAGGGCGAGAGGGCCGAGGTGGATGGGCGCCGACGGGGGCCGCGATCGGGGGCGCGGTGGAGGTGCGAGAGGGGTGCTGTGAGCGGCTTGGGCGGGCCGCAGAGGCGGTTGGGCGGGAGGGGAGGAGCGCAACCCCCGCGACTCAGAGCGATGATGAAGGAGGACGCAAGGTCTCGCACTTTCGAGCGAATCGTTCGGCTCTCACGCAGTCTGTCGTCGTGCAGTGTCGGCTGGGAGACAGCTTGGCAGTCACGCGGGTACCGCGCGACGAGATCTCAGGTTCGCTCGTCGCTTTCCTCCCCCCTCTCGCTTGAACGCTCGCGACGAGAGCTTGCAACCCAGCTTCGCCTTTGCGGGTTAGGAGCCAGCAGATTGTTTGCCCGACCCTCCGAATCACGGCAGAGCTCCTGAGCGTCCAGGTGACGCCGGGACACGCTCTCGGCGTCGTGCCGCGAGCGCAGAGACGCAGCATTTGCGCCTCGTTCAGCGCTTTGCGTCGTCCTCTGTCGACGGGTGAGCCGCCGCACAGGTACGCAAAAAGGATGTGACGAGCACAAGCACGAACGAGACAGCCGAAAGCTGGCTGCCGAGGCGCGCAATCGAGCAGGAAAGGACGGCCGAGGTCGGCCACGTCGCGTCGGCGAGCCGCGAGCGGGCCGGGTAAGGCGGCCCTCTCTCGTGCAGCAGGAGCACGGGGCTGGGTTGCCCGCAGCGGATGCTAGGCGAGAGCGAGGCGTGGCTCGCGAGAGGAGGGCGCGACGTGCGGGGCTGAGAGAGCGAGCGCTGCGCGCTGGGCGGGCTACTGCGGCTGAGGGGCGGGGGATCGCACGTCGGCGCAGGACACGTGCCGGCTTGCGCGTGCGCAGGGATGAGGTTGCCGCGGTGCTGCTCGGGCGGGAGGGAGGGTGCGAGTCAGCTCGTGAGAGGAGGAGAGAGAGGGAGAAAGGAGGGCTCGAGGCGCACCTTGAGGCGATGGGCCGGCGTGGCGGGCCGTGCAGCTGGGGCACCCGGTTCTGGAAGCGCACAGGAGGGGCACAGCCGAGCCTTGCCCTCGCCCGAACCGTTGCGAGCGAGCAGGGTGGGGGCGGGAGGAGCGAGAAGGGGGCGAGGCGAGGGAGACGGCGTAGCGCGCGTGCTCGGGGTGCAGGCGGGGGGCAGGGCTAGTGCGAGTCGGCTGCGGTGCTCTGCGTCGAGTGGGACGCGGTTGCAAGAGAGAGCGACGCGTCGCCTGACGCCCTCGACCAACACACCCTCCTCATCCTCACACCTCTCGCACGACCAGAGCAGCGCACCAGCAGCGTAGCCTACCAGCACAGCGCACTCCCTCCCCAGCACCATGGAGGGCCGGCCACCCTCTGCTGCCGCCGCCGCCCTCGCGCCCGACGGCACCTCGTCGCACTCGCCGCTCGCGCCCTTTGACCACGCCGAGCTGCGGCTGTACCTCGCCCAGCTCCTCCCACTCGTCATCGGCGCCGACCCGCGAGACCTCGCCACCTTGTTCGCCGACCCGGCCCAGTTTGACGAGCCCGCGACGAGGTGGGCCACCGACCCGCAAGCTGGCGCACTCTACATCCTCAAGACGAGGAGGGACCGCGACGACGATCTTGAGGGTACGTCCACAGAGAGCTCTCTCTCATGCGCGGCGAGCGTCGTCGAAACTGACTCGCTCCCTCCCACAGCCTCGTCCTCCTCCTCATCCGACACCTTCACCTACTCGCTCGCAACCACCCTGTCGTACTCGCCGGCGCAGGCCGCCACCCTCGCCCTCATCAAGCATGTCCCGACCCTCGACTCGAACATCCCGCTCGCCCAGCAGCTCCACTTCCTCAACCTGTTCGGCCCCGCATCCTCCTCCTCCTCGTCAACCGCCGCCCCTACCAGCACCGGCGGGCCCGCCTCGTCGTCATCGTCGTCGTCCGGCAGCGCCATCTACGAGGGCCTGCACCGCCTCGTGCACTACGGCGTCGCGCCCGCGTTCGAGGCGTTCGTCGAGAGCAAGGCGCGCAAGGACGGCGCGAGGCGCTCGGCCGCCGACGACTCGAAGGACGCCGACGCCAAGATGGGCATCCCCATGACCAAGAAGAAGTTTGCAGAGCTCGAGCTGTCGCTCCTCCACCGTGCGTCCCTCGCGGTCTCCCTCGTTGACGTCGCGCCGCCGCACCTTGGTCGCACGCACTGACCCTCGCGCGCGCACCCGACCCGCAGTCCAGCAGAACGTCGAGATCCCCGACATTGTCCTGTCGATCCACCCGACCATCGCCGCGGCGGTCGCCCGCGCCGAGGCGTCCGGCACGCGCGCGTCGGTCGTCGAGCACGTCGACCCGGCCCTCCTCGCCGACTCGGCCTTTCTCAACAAGCTCCAGGGCGAGGTCAACAGCTGGGTCAAGGAGATCCAGACCGTCACCAAGCTGTCGCGCGACGTGGCGAGCGGCACGGCGAGCCAGGAGGTCAACTTCTGGCTCGGCATGGAGCGCGCCCTCGAAGCGATCGAGAAGCAGCTCAAGAGCGACCCGGTGCAGCTCACGCTCGACGTCCTCAAGCACGCCAAGCGCTTTCACGCCACCGTCTCGTTCATCGCCGACACGGGCCTCAACGACGCGTTCAAGACGGGTCCGTCCTTGCCCCTTCCCTCGCGCGCCCGTCCCTCTCCCGAAACTGACCTCGCCCTGCGCCGCCCCGCCTCGCAGTGCACGACTACAACATCCTCATGAAGGACTTTCCGCTCAACGAGCTCCTCGCCGCGACCGACCTCGCAAAGGTTCAGGAGAGCATCCTCCTCATCTTTGGCCACGTCAACAAGAAGCTCAAGCTCTCGTGCGTCGCCCTCGTTCCCTCCTCTCCTCTCGACGTCGTACCTCGAGACTGACCCTGAGTCACTCGCACCCCGCGCAGGCCGTACCCGGTCCGCCGCGCGCTCCCTCTCGTCGAGGCCATCTCGCGCGACCTCAACGCGCAGCTCGTCAAGGTCCTCTCGTCGCACCGCCTCGCGCTCGCCGACTACGCCTCGTTCGACCGCCTCATGCACCACGCCCACCTCGTCTTTGTCGCGTGGGACGACTCGTTCAAGGAGTTTACCAACGTCGCGCGCGAGGTGACGCGCAAGCGCGCCGAAAAGTTCATCCCGATCAAGGTCAGCGCGAGCCACGTCCGCCTCGAGGAGCGCGTGAGGTACTTTCGCGCGTTCAGGAAACAGCACCACCAGCTGTTGGTCATGGTCGGACCGCTCGGGAGCGAGACCATGCTCCGGGGCGGCGAGAAGGCGCGGCAGCAGGGCGAGGGCGAGGAGGCGGACGGGCAGCAGAAGCAGCAGCAGGCGGCGGCGGCGGCGCGAGAGTGGAAGAGCACGCTCGGGGACATCGACATGGACGCCGAGGTGCGTCGCCCTTTCTCTCTCTCTTTCGTTCCTCCTCCGTCCTCAGCCACCTCAGCATGTCGCTGACCGTCCTTGTATTCGTCGACAGGTCCGTCAAGCGTACGAGAGCGTCAAGAACGTCGACGTGCTCGACGTGTCGGCCGGTGCGTCCCTCGTTTCCGCTCCCGGACCCGCCTCTCTCTCCCCCTCTCTCACTTGCCGACGCCCTGACACACGCCGCACCCACAACGCGCAGAGGGCACCGACATCTGGATCGCGGCCGAGACGGCCTACAACGAGCGCGTCGCGCGCGTCGAGAACCACATCATCTCGCGCTTGCGCGACCGGCTCGGCGGCGCCAAGAACGCCAACGAGATGTTTCGCGTCTTTTCCAAGTTCAACGCCCTACTTGTGCGCCCCAAGATCCGCGGTCAGTCGCTTCGTCGTCCTTCTCTCTCTCTGGTCGGGGTGCCGCACTGGCGCGACCGCTCGAGGGAGGGCCGCGAGCTGACTTGCTCCCTTTTCCTCCTCCTCCTCCTCTTCTCCCTCGCCCCCTCGCTCGCCCCCTTCGCAGGCGCCATCGCCGAGTACCAGTCGCAGCTCATCGAGTCGGTCAAGGACGACATCCGGCGGCTCCAGGACAAGTTCAAGGCCGGGTACCAGCAGTCCGAGGCGTACCACATGTCGCAGCTGCGCGACCACCCGCCCATCTCGGGCGCCATCATCTGGGCCAAGCAGATCGAGCGCCAGCTGTACCACTACATGAAGCGCGTCGAGGACGTCCTCGGCAAGGAGTGGTCGCACTATGCCGACGGCCAGCGCCTCCAGACCGAGAGCCAGTCGTTCCGCGACAAGCTCAACACGCGCCCGATCTACGACGCGTGGCTCGTCGACATCAACCGGCGCAACCTGTCGATCGGCGGGCGCCTGTTTGGCGTCACCAAGAGCCGCCAGCACGGCGGCGCGCTCCAGCTCGCCGTCAACTTTGACCCGCAGATCATCACGCTCTTCAAGGAGGTCCGCAACCTCCTGTGGCTCGGGTTCCAGGTGCCGCACACGGTCAGCAACATCGCCAAGGACGCCAAGCGCGTGTACCCGTACGCCGTCAGCCTCATGGAGACGGTCCGCACCTACTCGCAGACGGTCCACAAGCTCGAGCAGAACCCGGACATTGCGCCGCTCGTCGCCGCGACGCACAAGAAGGCGCAGGAGCAGATCGCCAAGGGTGCGTCGCCGTCGTTCCTCTCTCTCCCTCTCGTCGTCGCTTAGGCCCCCTCACTGACTCGAGCTCGTCGTTGTCGTCGTCGACAGGCATGGGCTTCCGGTGGGAGCACTTTGTCAACACGTTCGACGGTCGCTCGCTGTCGTACGTCGCCGGCGCCGGCGTCGACAACTCGGGCAGCAAGCATACGCACTACGTCCGCGAGTTTGCGTCGATCGTCGCCGAGCTCCAGGACCGCACCGACCACCTCGTCGAGCTGTACGGCGACATGTGCCGCACGGTCGACGAGCTCGGCACGTGCCCGTACGCGCGCGACGCGTTCGCCGACCACCTCGCGTCGCTCCAGAAGAAGGTCGACACGCTCAACCTCGAGGGCTACGCCAACCTCGACTCGTGGACCCGAGCGCTCGACGCCAAGGTCGAAAAGGTCCTCGCCCGTCGCCTGCGCGCCGTCATCGAGCGGTGGTGCGACGAGTTCACCAAGGACCCGGACGCGGCCGCTCGCGCCGACTCGACGTCGACCGCGACGGCAGCGCTGCGCGGCGGCAAGGCCGCGCTCAAGAAGCAGCAGCAGCAGCTGTCGGGCGCACCCGTCGTCGGCGCCGGCGCCGGCGTCGCCGCTGGGCCCGACGACGCGCTCGTCCTCGAGACGGTCGTGCACGAGGTCCGCATCCAGAACCAGGTCATCCACCTCGACCCGCCTCTCGAGCACGCCCGCGCGAGCTGGTACCGCCAGCTCCAGTCGTGGCTCGGCGTCGTGTGCGGCCTCGCGCGCATCCAGAGCTCGCGGTACGAGATCGGCCTCAAGCTCCGGTCGACGTCGCCCGACGCGCTCAACTACTCGTCGCTCCTCGCGACCCTCGCCGACGGCACGCTCGAGCGCCCGTTCGCGCTCGTCGAGCACAAGTTGCGCGAGGTCGGCGCCTACGTCGACAAGTGGCTCCAGTTCCAGTCGCTGTGGGACCTCGAGGCCGACGTCGTGTACGCGCGCCTCGGCGACGAGCTGTCGGCGTGGCAGCAGCTCCTGCTCGAGATCCGCAAGACGAGGTCGACGTTCGACAACTCGGAGACGCAGCGCTCGTTCGCCGTCGCCGTCATCGACTACGAGCAGGTCCAGAGCAAGGTCAACGCCAAGTACGACACGTGGCAGCGCGACCTCCTCGCCCGGTTCGGCACCAAGCTCGGCGCCGCCATGAAGGAGACGCACGCCCAGATCCGCAAGGCGCGCCACGACCTCGAGCAGCACTCGATCGAGACGTCGTCGACGGCGGCGACCGTCGCCTTCATCACGTTCGTCCAGGACGTCCGCCGTCGCGTCAAGCACTGGGCGCCGCAGATCGCCCTGTTCTCGAGCGGCCAGAAGACGCTCGAGCGCCAACGGTACCAGTTCCCGGCCGACTGGCTGTACGTCGACCAGGTCGACGGCGAGTGGACGAGCTTCAACGAGATCCTCGGGCGCAAGAACGCGTCGATCCAGGACCAGCTCGCCGGCCTCCAGCTCAAGGTCGTCGCCGAGGACAAGGTGCTCGACGGCCGCATCGACGAGGCCGTCGCCGACTGGGAGCGCGACAAGCCGATCCAGGGCTCGCTCAAGGCGGCCGACGCCATGAACGCGATCGGCGTCTTCGAGGGCCGCGTCACGCGCCTCAAGGAGCAGCACGACATGCTGCGCCGCGCCAAGGAGTCGCTCGACCTCGAGCCGACGCGCGACGGCCGCCTCGAGCCCGTCGTCGACGAGATCCGCGACCTCAAGGCCGTGTGGACGGCCCTGTCGGGCGTGTGGGCCCAGGTGGCCGACCTGCGCGACACGCTGTGGTCGTCGGTCCAGGCGCGCAAGCTCCGCCAGCAGCTCGACGCGCTCCTGTCGTCGACGCGCGACATGCCGAGCAAGATGCGCCAGTACGCCGCGTTCGAGTACGTCCAGGAGACGCTGCGCGCGCACCTCAAGTCGAACGCGCTCGTCGGCGACCTCAAGTCCGAGGCCCTGCGCGAGCGCCACTGGCGCCAGCTGTACAAGGCGCTGCGCGTCGCCGGCCAGTACTCGCCGTCGACGATGACGCTCGGCACCGTGTGGGACCTCGACCTCAAGCGCAACGAGCTCGTCGTCAAGGACGTCATCACGCAGGCCCAGGGCGAGATGGCGCTCGAGGAGTTCCTCAAGCAGGTGCGCTCGAGCCCCCCTTCTCTCTCTCTCTCTCCCGGCGCACGCTCGGTCCCTGACCATGTGTCCTCTCCCTTGCCGCAGGTCAAGGAGACGTGGACGAGCTACACGCTCGACCTCGTCAACTACCAGAACAAGACGCGCCTCGTGCGAGGGTGGGACGACCTGTTCACCAAGTGCGGCGAGAACCTCAACTCGCTCACGGCCATGAAGCTGTCGCCATACTACAAGGTGTTCGACGAGGAGGCGTCGGCGTGGGAGGACCGCCTGAACCGCATCCACGTCCTGTTCGACGTGTGGATCGACGTCCAGCGCCAGTGGGTCTACCTCGAGTGCGTCCCTCTCCCTCTCTCTCTCTCTTTGCTCTTTGCGGACCGCGCTCACCTCGTCCTCTCTCGCACCTTGCGCGCAGGGGCATCTTTTCGGGCAGCGCAGACATCAAACACCTGCTCCCGATCGAGTCGCAGCGGTTCAACAACATCAACGCCGAGTTCCTCGCCGTCATGAAGAAGGTCGCCAAGTCGCCGTTCATCCTCGACGTGCTCAACATCCCCAACGTCCAGAAGAGCCTCGAGCGCCTCGCCGACCTCCTGTCCAAGATCCAGAAGGCGCTCGGCGAGTACCTCGAGCGCGAGCGGTCGTCGTTCCCGCGGTTCTACTTTGTCGGCGACGAGGACCTGCTCGAGATCATCGGCAACAGCAAGGACGTCCTGCGCGTCGCCAAGTTCCTCAAGAAGATGTTCGCCGGCCTCGCGGCGCTCGTCCTCGACGGCGAGCAGACGCAGATCGAGGGCATCGTGTCGCGCGAGGGCGAGGAGGTGCCGTTCTCGACCCCGGTCGTGTTCGCCCAGTACCCCAAGATCAACGACTGGCTCGCCCAGCTCGAACTCGAGATGAAGGTGTCGCTCGCGACGCTCGTCGCGCGCGCGTACGCCGACCTCGAGGCGTTCTACCGCGACCCGGCCGGCCTCGACCGCGACCGGTTCCTCGCGTGGATCGACGCGTACCCGGCCCAGCTCGTCGTCCTCGCCGTCCAGGTCGGCTGGACGAGCCTCGTCGAGGGTGCGCTGCAGGCGGGCAAGCCCCTCGACGGCCCGCTCGCCGTCGTCTCGCGCGGCCTCGACGTCCTCGCCGACGCCGTCCTCGGCGACCTGCAGCCGATCCAGCGCCGCAAGTGCGAGCACCTCATCACCGAGCTCGTCCACGAGCGCGACGTCGTGCGCCTCCTCGTCCAAGGCGGCGTCACGTCGGCGACCGACTTCAGCTGGCTGTACCACATGCGGTTCTACCTCGACCCGACCCGGCCCAACGTCCTCGACCAGCTCGAGGTCAAGATGGCGAGCGCGACGTTCCCGTACGGCTACGAGTACCTCGGCGTCCCCGACCGCCTCGTCCAGACGCCCCTCACCGACCGGTGCTACCTCACCCTCACCCAGGCGCTCGAGTCGCGCCTCGGCGGCTCTCCGTTCGGCCCGGCCGGCACCGGTGCGTCCTCGCCTCTCTCTCTCTCTCTCTGTGTGTGTCCTCGTCGACGGACTCTCGCTCACAGCGCGGGCCCTCGCACCCACGCAGGCAAGACCGAGTCGGTCAAGGCGCTCGGCGTCGCGCTCGGCCGGTTCGTCCTCGTCTTCTGCTGCGACGAGACGTTCGACTTCCAGGCCATGGGCCGCATCTTTGTCGGCCTGTGCCAGGTCGGCGCGTGGGGCTGCTTCGACGAGTTCAACCGGCTCGAGGAGCGCATCCTGTCGGCCGTCTCGCAGCAGATCCAGACGATCCAGCTCGGCCTGAGCGCCACCGTCGCCAACCCGTCGACCGAGATCGAGCTCGTCGGCCGCCAGCTCAAGGTCAACCTCGACACGGGCATCTTTATCACGAGTGCGCCGCCGCCGCCTCTCTCCCTCTCCCCCTCCCTCTCTCGAACGTCTCACTGACTCGGCCTCCCGCGCAGTGAACCCGGGCTACGCCGGCCGGTCCAACCTGCCCGACAACCTCAAGAAGCTGTTCCGGAGCATCGCCATGACGCGCCCCGACCGCGAGCTCATCGCCCAGGTCATGCTCTTCTCGCAAGGGTTCCGCACGGCCGAGACGCTCGCGTCCAAGGTCGTCCCGTTCTTCAACCTGTGCGCCGAGCAGCTGTCGTCGCAGCCCCATTACGACTTTGGGCTGCGCGCGCTCAAGGCCGTCCTCGTCAGCGCCGGCCACCTCAAGCGCGAGCGCCTCCAGCAGCAGGGCGGCGACAAGGACTCGGCGCCGGTCGCCAAGTCGATCGACATCTCGGAGCAGGAGATCCTCATTCAGTCGGTCACCGAGACGATCGTGCCCAAGCTCGTCGCCGAGGACGTGCCGCTCCTGACGAGCCTCCTCGCCGACGTCTTCCCCGGCGTCGAGTACGTCCCCGTCAACCTCGACCAGCTCAAGGAGCACATCGTCGCCGTCTGCCGCGAGCGCCACCTCGTCGCCGACTCGGCGTGGCTCGACAAGGCCGTCCAGCTGTTCCAGATCCAGAACATCCAGCACGGCGTCATGATGGTCGGGCCGTCGGCGACGGGCAAGACGACGGCGTGGCGCGTCCTCCTCACCGCGCTCGAGCGCCTCACGGGCGTCGAGGGCGTGTCGTACGTGATCGACCCCAAGGCCATCTCGAAGGACGCCCTGTACGGCACGCTCGACCCGACCACGCGCGAGTGGAACGACGGCCTGTTCACGCACATCCTGCGCAAGATCGTCGACGACGTGCGCGCCGAGAGCACCAAGCGCCACTGGATCATCTTTGACGGCGACGTCGACCCCGAGTGGGTCGAGAACCTCAACTCGTGCGTCCACTCTCTCTCTCTCTCTCTCTCTTGCGCGCCTCGGCCGGGACTGACCTCGCGCCCCGCCTGTGTGTGCGCAGGGTCCTCGACGACAACAAGCTCCTGACGTTGCCCAACGGCGAGCGCCTCAACCTGCCGCCGCACGTCCGCATCCTGTTCGAGGTCGAGTCGCTCAAGTACGCGACGCTCGCGACCGTGTCGCGGTGCGGCATGGTGTGGTTCAGCGACAACGTCGTCACGCCGTCGATGCTGTGCCGCAACTACCTGTCGAGCGTGTGCGCCGACGCGCTCGACGTCGCCGACGACGACTCGCCCGGCCGCCGTCGCGCGCTCACCGCCGCCGCCGCCGCCATCGCCGCCGGCGACAGCGACGACATGTCGCCGACGCTCGCGACGCAGCGCGCCATCGCCGCCAAGCTCGAGCCGTACTTTGCGCCGGGCGCGCTCGTCGCCAAGGCGCTCGCGCACGCGGCGACGGTCGACCACATCATGGAGTTCACGCCGGCGCGCGCCCTGACGACCCTGTTCTCGCTCGTCAACAAGTCGATCCGGGCCGTCGTCGAGTACAACGTCGCGCACCCGGACTTCCCGCTCGCGGCCGACCAGGTCGAGTCGTACACGCTCAAGCGGCTCCTCGTCAGCGTCGTGTGGGCTTTCACGGGCGACTCGAAGCTCGACACGCGCGCCGCCATGGGCGGCTACCTGCGCACCCAGTCGGGCCTCGACTTTCCGCCGCTCGGGCCCGGCGGGTCGCTCATCGACTTTGACGTCGACGTCGCGTCGGGCGACTGGGTCAGCTGGCAAGACTCGGTCCCGACGATCGACGTCGACACGCAGGCCGTCACGTCGCCGGACGTCGTCATCCCGACGCTCGACACGGTCCGCCACGAGGAGGTCCTGTACTCGTGGCTGTCCGAGCACCGCCCGCTCCTCCTGTGCGGCCCACCCGGGTCGGGCAAGACGATGACGCTGTTCAGCGCCCTGCGCAAGTTGCCCGACCTCGAGGTCGTCGGCCTCAACTTTTCGAGCGCGACGACGCCCGACCTGATCCTCAAGACGTTCGAGCAGCACTGCGAGTACCGCAAGACGCCCAACGGCGTCGTCCTCGCGCCCGTCCAGATCGGCCGGTGGCTCGTCCTGTTCTGCGACGAGATCAACCTGCCCGCCGCCGACACGTACGGCACGCAGAAGGTCATCTCGTTCCTGCGCCAGCTCGTCGAGCACGGCGGCTTCTGGCGCCCGACGGACAAGGCGTGGGTCACGCTCGAGAACATCCAGCTCGTCGGCGCGTGCAACCCGCCGACCGACCCGGGCCGGGTCCCGCTCAGCCAGCGCTTCCTGCGCCACGCGCCGCTCGTCATGGTCGACTACCCGGGCGAGACGTCGCTCAAGCAGATCTACGGCACCTTCTCGCGCGCGCTCCTCAAGGTCGTCCCGCCGCTGCGCGGGTTCGCCGAGCCGCTCACCGACGCCATGGTCGAGTTCTACCTCGCTTCGCAGCGCCGGTTCACGACCGACGTCCAGGCGCACTACGTCTACTCGCCGCGCGAGTTGACGAGGTGGACCCGCGGCATCTACGAGGCGATCCGCCCACTCGACGCCCTGTCGGTCGAGGGCCTCGTCCGGGTCTGGGCGCACGAGGCGCTCCGGCTGTTCCAGGACCGCCTCGTCACCGACGCCGAACGCGCGTGGACCGACGCCAAGATCGACGAGGTCGCGCTCGCCCACTTCCCGACGCTCGACCGCGCCGAGGCGCTCGCCCGCCCGATCCTGTACTCGAACTGGCTGTCGAAGCACTACGTGCCCGTCGACCGCGAGCAGCTGCGCGAGTACGCCAAGGCGCGCCTGCGCGTCTTTTACGAGGAGGAGCTCGACGTCCCGCTCGTCTTGTTCAACGACGTCCTCGACCACGTCCTGCGCATCGACCGCGTGTTCCGCCAGGTCCAGGGTCACCTCCTCTTGATCGGCGTCAGCGGCTCGGGCAAGGTGCGTCCCGCCTCGTCTCTCTCTCCCTCCCTCCCTCTCTGTGTCCCTTGAACTGACTCTTGTTCGCGCCCCGTCTCGCTCGCGCCCCTCCTTCCTCAGACGACCCTGTCTCGGTTCGTCGCGTGGATGAACGGCCTGAGCGTGTTCCAGATCAAGGTCCACAACAAGTACTCGGGCGACGACTTTGACGACGACCTGCGCACGGTCCTGCGCCGCGCCGGGTGCAAGGGCGAAAAGATCGCCTTCATCATGGACGAGTCGAACGTGCTCGACTCGGGCTTCCTCGAGCGCATGAACACGCTCCTCGCCAACGCCGAGGTGCCCGGCCTGTTCGAGGGCGACGAGCACGCGGCCCTCATGACGGCGTGCAAGGAGGGCGCGCAGCGCGACGGTCTCATGCTCGACTCGCCCGACGAGCTGTACCGGTGGTTCACGGCGCAGGTCGCGCGCAACCTCCACGTCGTGTTCACGATGAACCCGCCGTCGGGCGGGCTCGCGTCGCGGGCCGCCACGTCGCCGGCCCTGTTCAACCGCTGCGTCCTCGACTGGTTCGGCGACTGGTCCGAGCAGGCGCTCTACCAGGTCGGGCTCGAGTTTACCAGCTCGCTCGACCTCGACGCGGCCGGGTACGTCGCGCCGGCCGACTTCCCCGTCGCGTACCGCCAGCTCGCGCTCCCGCCGGTCCACCGCGCCGCCATCGTCAACGCGCTCGTGCACGTGCACCACTCGATGTACGCGACCAACGCCAAGCTCGCGCGGCGCCAGGGCCGCGTCAACCACGCGACGCCGCGCCACTACCTCGACTTTGTCAACCAGTACGTGCGCCTCTTTACCGAGAAGCGCGACGAGCTCGAGGACCAGCAGCGGCACCTCAACGTCGGCCTCGACAAGCTGCGCGAGACGGTCGTCCAGGTCGAGGAGCTGCGCAAGAGCCTCGCCGTCAAGCGCACCCAGCTCGAGCTCAAGAACGGCGAGGCGAACGACAAGCTCAAGCGCATGGTCGCCGACCAGCAGGACGCCGAGCAGAAAAAGGTGGCCTCGCTCGAGATGTCGACCGCGCTCGAGCAGCAGGAGCGCGCCATCGCCGAGCGCCGCGACGTCGTCATGGGCGAGCTCGCCGACGCCGAGCCCGCCGTCGAGGACGCCCAGGCGGCCGTGTCCAACATCAAGAAGCAGCAGCTCACCGAGGTGCGCTCGATGGCCAACCCGCCCGAGGCCGTCAAGCTGTCGATGGAGGCCGTCTGCATCCTCCTCGGCCACAAGATCGACAGCTGGAAGGCCGTCCAGGCCGTCCTGCGCTCCGACTCGTTCATCTCGCACATTGTCAACTTTGACACGGCCCAGCTCACGCGCCACTTGCGCGACAAGATGCGCGCCGAGTACCTGTCGCGCCCGTCGTTCACGTTCGAGACGGTCAACCGCGCGAGCAAGGCGTGCGGCCCGCTCGTCAAGTGGGTCATCGCCCAGGTCAACTACTCGTCGATCCTCGACAAGGTCGGCCCGCTGCGCGACGAGGTGCGCGCGCTCGAGGACCAAGCCGAGACGACGACGCACCAGGCGCACGCGCTCCAGGGCATGATTGCCGAGCTCGAGGCGCGCATCGCGGCGTACAAGGACGAGTACGCGGCCCTGATCAGCGAGACGCAGGCGATCAAGACGGCCATGGAGACGGTCCAGACGCGCGTCGACCGCTCGGTGACGCTCCTCGACAGCCTGTCGTCCGAGAAGGTGCGGTGGGAGGCCGGCAGCCGCACGTTCGAGGGCCAGATGGCGACCGTCGCCGGCGACGTCCTCCTCTCGGCCGCCTTTCTCGCGTACGCCGGCTACTTCGACCAGGCCTACCGCCAGTCGATGTGGCACGGCTGGGCCGCCCACCTCGCCGACGCCGGCATCCGGCACAAGGCCGAGCTGTCGCTGTCCGAGTACCTGTCGACGGCCGACGAGCGCCTCGAGTGGCACGCGCGCTCGCTCCCGACCGACGAGCTGTGCGTCGAGAACGCTGTCATGCTCACTCGGTTCGACCGGTACCCGCTCGTCATCGACCCGTCGGGCCAGGCGACGGCCTTCCTCCTCAACGAGTTCAAGGACCGCAAGATCACCGTCACGTCCTTCCTCGACGAGGCGTTCCTCAAGAACCTCGAGAGCGCCCTCCGGTTCGGCACCCCGATCCTCATCCAGGACGTCGAGCACCTCGACCCGATCCTCAACGCCGTCCTCAACAAGGAGCTGCGGCGCGCCGGCGGCCGCGTCCTCATCCGCCTCGGCACCCAGGACATCGACTTTTCGCCCTCGTTCACGTGCGTCCCGGCACCCTCTCTCTCTCCCTCGTGCCCTCGTGCACTCTCACTGACCCTCTCTCGCGGCCTGCAGCATGTTCCTGTCGACGCGCGACCCGTCGGTCGAGTTTGCCGCCGACCTCAACTCGCGCGTCACCATGGTCAACTTCTCGGTGCGTCCCCGTTTCCCTCTCTGTCTCGCCCCAACTCGCCGTCTCTGACTCGCCCTCTTTCCTCTCTCTACAGATCACGCGCGCAAGCCTCCAGACCCAGTCGCTCGCCCAGGTCCTGCGCGTCGAGCGGCCCGAGGTCGACCGCAAGCGCTCGGACCTGCTCCGCCTCCAGGGCGAGTTCCGCGCTCGCCTGCACCACCTCGAGAAGAGCCTCCTCACGGCGCTCAACGAGTCGCAGGGCAACATCCTCGACGACGACAAGTGCGTCCCTGTCCCCCCTCATCGTCGACCGACCGACCGACCGAGACTGACCGTCGCTCCTCGTCGTCGAACCCAGGGTCATCGGCACGCTCGAGATGCTCAAGCGCGAGGCGGCCGACGTCACGCGCAAGGTCGAGGAGACCGACACGGTCATGGCCGAGGTCGAGCAGGTCACGAACGAGTACCTGCCGCTCGCGCAGGCGTGCAGCAGCGTCTTCTTCGTCCTCGACGAGCTCCACCTCCTGCACCACTTTTACCAGTTCTCGCTCCGGTTCTTCCTCGACGTGTTCGACTACGTCCTCCTGCACAACCCGTCGCTCAAGAACGTCACCGACCCGCACGCCCGTCTGCGCATCCTCCTCGACGACCTGTTCCTCCACGTCTTCAAGCGCACCGCCCGGGCCCTCCTCCACACCGACCACCTCACCCTCGCCCTCCTCCTCGCGGCCGTCAAGGTGCGCGGCTCGAGCGCCGACTTTGACGAGCACGAGTTCGCGTTCCTGCTCGAGGGCGGCGACGCGCTCGCGACCACCGGGTCGGCGCCCCAGGCCGACGTGCCGCTCCTCGACGACGCCCAGCAGCAGCGCCTGCGCGCGTTCGAGCGCCTCGAGGTGTTCCGAGACGTCCGACCGCACCTCGCAGCGCACGAGGCCGAGTGGCGCGCCTTCCTCGCGTCGGCCGCGCCCGAGTCGGTCGTGCCGGCCGTGTGGGCCGACCTCGACCCGGTCGCGCTCGCCATCCGCCGAGCGCTCGTCGTCAAGTGCTTGCGACCCGACCGCCTCCTGCAGGCCTTGAGCGCGTTCGCCTCGCTCGTGTTCGAGCGCGACCTCCTCCTCGAGACGACGTTCGAGCTCGGCGACATGGTCGAGCACGAGGTCGACGCGGCGGCGCCCGTCTGCCTGTGCTCGGTGCCGGGCTACGACGCGAGCTACCGCGTCGACCACCTTGTCGCGGCGACGTCGGCGCGGTGCACGTCGGTCGCCATGGGCTCGCAGGAGGGCTACGCGCTCGCCGACCAGGCCATCGCCGCAGCGGCGCGCACGGGCAACTGGGTCCTGCTCAAGAACGTCCACCTCGCGCCGGCGTGGCTCAGCCAGCTCGAGAAGCGGCTCCAGAGCCTCCACCCGAACCGCGCGTTCCGCCTCTTTCTCACGATGGAGACGAACCCGGCGATCCCGGTCAACATCCTGCGCCAGGGCCGCATCGTCATGAACGAGCCGCCGCCGGGCATTCGCGCCAACCTCGTCGACTCGCTGCGCAGCCTCGACCCGAAGCGCCTGTCGACCGGCCCGGCCGAGAAGATGCGCCTGTACTTCCTCGTCGCGTGGTTCCACGCCGTCGTCCAGGAGCGCCTGCGCTACGTCCCGCTCGGCTGGAGCAAGGCGTTCGAGTTCAACGACTCGGACCAGGAGGCGGCGCTCAACACGATCGACTCGTGGGTCGCGTCGGCCGCCCGAGGCCGCGCCAACGTCGACCCGGCCTCGATCCCGTGGGCCGCGATCCGCTCGCTCGTGCGCGAGACGGTGTACGGCGGCAAGGTCGACACCGAGTTTGACCAGTCGCTCCTCGACTCGTTCGTCGAGTCGCTGTTCTCGCCTCGCGCGTACGACGTCGACTTTGCGCTCGTGCCCGAGCGCGACGGCGACGCGGGCCTCGTCGCGCCCGACGCGACCCAGCTCGACCAGTTCCTCGAGTGGGCGACGCAGTTGCCCGAGCAGGAGCCGCCGTCGTACCTCGCGCTCCCGCCGACTGCCGAGCGGGTCATCGCCCTCGCCCAAGGTGCGCTCCCTCTCTCTTTTCGTCCTCGCCATGTCTCGCCGACTGACCAAGACGTCGCGCGCGCACACAGGTTCCGCGCTCCTCGCCCGACTCGTCAAGATGCGCTCGCTCGACGACGACGACGAGACGGTCGCGGTCGACCTCAAGCAGGGCGGCTCGTCGGCTCAGCCTGCGTGGATGCGCGCGCTGCGACAGTCGTGCACCGAGTGGCTCGAGGTGCTCCCAACGGTCCGTCCCCGCCTTTCTCCTTTGACGTGTGAGGCGCTCGACTCGGCGCAGAATCGCTCACCCTCCTCATCCTCGCAGACCTCGGCCCGCATCGCCTCGTCGGCCGCCGCCGCCCAGGACCCGCTCGCCCGCTTCTTCGAGCGCGAGGCGTCGCTCGCCAGCTCGCTCCTGCCCAGCATACGATCCGACCTCGCTGACCTCGTCAAGGTGTGCGACGGCGAGCTCAAGCAGACGAACGACCTGCGCGCCCTCCTCCTCGACCTCGCCAAGGGCACCGTGCCGTCGTCGTGGCGCCGGTACCGGTGCCGCGACCTGCCCGTCGCCGTGTGGATCGTCGACCTCGCCAAGCGCCTGTCGCAGCTCGCGACCGTCGGCGCAGCGCCCAGCCTCGCCCAGGTGCCCGTCGCGCTCGGGCTCCTGTTCCACCCTCACGGCTTCATCACGGCGTCGCGGCAGGCCGTCGCACACTCGACGCAGGCGTCGCTCGAGGAGCTCCACCTCGAGGTCGCGCTCGAGGTGACCGGCCAACCCGACTCGTTCGTCGTCGAGGGTCCGTCTCCTCTCTCTCTCTTCGTCTTTCTCTTTGGTCCCGTCACTGACTTCTCCTCGCGCGCCCACAGGCTTCTCGCTCGTCGGTGCCTGCCTGCAGGACGGTGCCCTCGCCCTCAACGACGGCTCGGTCGTCCGCCTCGGCCCGTCGTCCATCTCGTGGCGGCGGCGGCGCGCACCCGACTCGGCGCCCTCGACGAGCGGCAGCAACGACGGCGAGACGCGCCTCGCGCTCCCGTGCTTCCTCGACTCGACCCGCACCGACGTCTTGTTCTCGGTCGCAGTTCCGGCGAGGGGCGTCGACGCCGTCGCGGTCAAGCAGCGCGCCGTCGCGGTCGTGGCGGCAGAGTGAGCGGGAGGGGAGAGGAGGGTGTTTCTTCGGCTCGTCGTTGCTTTGTCTCTGTCTCTCGCAATCGCAGGCCTCGTTTCTCTCGTTCCCCTCCCTGTCTCTGGGCCCTCAAGAGTGCAAAGCAGCGCCCGAGCGGGACCTTCTCAAGTTGCCCACTCCCGGGTTCCCTCGCTTGCCGCGAGCTTGAGACTTCCTGCGAGCGTTTCTCGGGCGCTCACGTCGCACGCTCAGTCCTATACATGCTTGACGTCGAGCTGCGGTACTCCCGCTCGACCCTCGTCGCGGATCTCCTCACTCGGCGACGCTTTCGCGCCGTGTCGCATCGGCCCCGGGCGACTTTTCGTCCCTGCGTCGCTCGCAGAGCAGTGAACCCTCGCCTGCGGAAAACCTCGGGCTCGTCGGTTCATCGCTGACAGGCGTGCTCGTCGACTCAAGCCCGTCTTTCGTCCTGCGCTCGCTTGGTTTCGCCCTTTCTCTCTCTCTCTCTCGCTCTTTGCTTTCTCAGGCTCGCGTCGGCGAGGCTCTCGAGAGCGCCACCGAGCGCGCTCAACAAGGAAGCGAGAGAGCAGGAGCGCCGGCCAAGTTCGTGCGCTGCGTACTCTCGTCTCGCGCTCTCCTCTCGGAACAGGGGGCCGAGAGACGGACGTTGAACATGCTCGCTCGGTTGCAGTCGAAACGTGCTGCTCAGAAGTCGGTCACCTTGCCGCCGTACGCCCAGTCGCCTGCGTGGACGTCGAGAGGAGGAGGGTCAGGGCTGCTCGCCCAGAAGTAGCAGGCTCGCCCGCGAACGAGCGCGAGCGAGCCCGCACCGAGTCCAGAGAGAAAACGCAGCGCCGACGCACCGTGCACCAACGGCTCCCTCTTTGGCCCACCCCTCTCTCCCGTGTTGGGGTTCTCGTCGCCCTCAAACTCGGGCTTTGGCCTCCTCACCAAGTCCGGGTGCATCTCCTCGCCGTCCTTGAGCCCGCTCAGGTCGACCCCGGGGGCGGCGGGCGTCTGGGCGCGCTTGACGAGCTCGTCGAACTCGCGCTGGAGGTGCGGCGGGAGGGCGGGCGGGGCGGGGCGGGAGAACGAGTTGGAGGAGCTCGAGGACGAGGACGACGGAGGGGTGGCGCCGTGGGGCGGTGGCGGGAAGAGGGAGAGACGGGGGGAGGTGCTGCTGAGGGGGCGGGCGCCACGGGGCGTGGAGAGGGAGGAGGCGCCGACGAGAGTGCGGGTGGCTGATGGCACGGCGAGGGGCGATCGGCGGGCGCAGGTGCAGCGTGCGAGCGGGATTGAGGCGGTGCGAGCTGTGGTGAGCATGGTGGGGCTCGAGTGCGGGTCGTCTGGCGGCGCGGCGAGGTGTGGCGAAAGCGAGAGAAGAGGAGGTCGGCTCGCGACGGTCGCCGACGACTCTCGCTCTGATCGGGGGGCGGTGCAGCTCGCCCTCACCCAGCTGCAGCTCTCTCGCGCAGAGCCGTGCATCCGGTGCGAAAGCTCGTCCCCAGCCGTCGAACTCTCGAGAGCGCAGCACCGAAAGCAAGCGAGCTCGCTGCCTCGCCGCTCCTCCTCGTCGAATCGCGAGGCGCGGACATGCTGAAGGCGAAACAAGGATGACAACCTGGTGGTACACTACAAGGCGTCCTCTCTCTCTCTCTCTCTCTCTGACCCATGCACGGCCCTCGCCCTCACCTCTATGCCCGGCCCGCCCGAAAGCGCCGCCGCCGCCCAGAGCGGCGCGCTTACTCGTCGTCGGCCGCGACGGCCGCGGCCGCCTCGGCGGTGCCGCCGCACACCGAGCCGTCGGCGAGGTTGAGGCCAAGGAGGGGCACGATCTGGAACTGTTGGAGCGGTTGGTGGGTGCGGCGAGCCGAGAGTCAGACGGTGCGCCCTCCCACACGCAGAGAGAGAGAGGGAGGGGACGCACGGTCGCGTACGTCTTGCCAAACAGCTTGAGGAGGTTGACCTGATTCGGGTTGAGCGTGTCGCCCTCGTTGCAGACCGTGTGAGGGGCCGTGAGGGTCGGCACGCCGCGCAAGAGGCTCGTCGAGAGGCCGAGCTTGCGCAGCTGGGGCTCGAGCGAGTGCGCCGCCGGCTCGTCGTTGATCAAGACGGGGCCGACGGGGAGAGAGAACGTCTCGGTCGCCTTGTTGCCCGTGCGCGCGAAATCGGCCTTGTGGAACGAGGCGAACCACTCGGAGACGACGTCGGGCGTCTCGTCGGTGAACAGGAGGCCGCGGCTGCCCTCGAGCATCTGCGTCGAGGGGCGCGAGCGAGTCAGTGTTGCGTCCCTGGAGACGCACATGGAGTCGCCGCAGCTGCACGCAGTGTTGCGCGAGCTGCAGGGACGCGACGAGCGAAGCGAGCGAGGGAACGCACGTTGGCCACCTTGTGGACGCCGAGGCGGCACTCGTCCTCCGGGGTCGCGCCGAGGCCCTTGCGCATGACGGCGTTGCGGCCGAGGAAGATCCTGCAGTGCGGGCGGGGAGTCAGTCGAGGTGGACCAAGGGCGGCCCCACGTCCGCCGAGACGAGCTCAGCTCGAGGAGGGGGACGAGGGGGGAACGGCGACGGCGGGCGAGTGCAAGAGCTCGCGCGCGCCATGCTCGGCCATCGAGAGGTGGCAGGAGAAGAGTCGGGGTGCAAGGCAACAAGGGACGCACCTCGAGCCCTTCCAGGCCTTGCGGACCTCCTGGAGGAGGTTGTTGCGCATGTGCTCGACCTCGAAGACCCAGAGGAACTTGTGGTTGTCGGCCTGTTGGCGGACCTCGTCGATGAGCTTGGCCTTTGCCTCCTTGCCCTTCTTGCTCGTCTGGGTGAGGGCGACGACGCGGTCACGCTTGGACCGGGGCATGGTGAGAGGTGGGAGGTGGTGGTGGAGAGGGCGGCGGTTCGGGGGCGGGGGAGCGGGTCGCGGTAGGCCGAGTTGGTGCTAGCGGTGCAGGTCTAGGCGGTGCAGGTCGAGCAAGAGGTTGAGGTGAGGCGGGGAGGAGAGCTGCTGCTCGCTTACTCGTCGAGCTCGACCTCGGCGCGCCATCTCTCAACTAACTTCGTCGCTCTCACCCGCAACGAGCACTGCTGCGACCGCCTTGGCCACACTCTACACCCCACTCGACACCCCCTGACCCCTACCCGAACCCGCGTCGAGCTACTCGCCCCGACCCGCACCTCTCTCCCCGCCCGATCCTCGGCACCGCCCCCTCGCACCATGGTCGCCCTCTCGCACGACGACCAGGTCTTTGCCGACCTCGACAAGCAGCTCAACTCGCACGACGTGCCCCTCGCTCAGCGCTTCCGCGCCCTCTTCACCCTCAAGTCGCTCGGCGGACACCGCGCCATCGAGGTCATCGGTCGCGGTCCGTCCTAGCCCCAGCTCTCTACTGCGCACGCACATGCTGACACTCCCCCGTGCGCGCACACGCAGGCTTCGACGGCGAGTCGGCCCTCCTCGGACACGAGCTCGCCTACTGCCTCGGGCAGCTCAAGGACCCAAAGGCGCTCCCGATCCTCACAAAGGTCCTCGAGGACGACAACGAGCACCCCATGGTCCGCCACGAGGTGCGTCCCCCCTCCACCTCCCTCCCCCTCTTGGCCCGACTCGGCGACTGATCCCGGACCACCCTCGCAGGCCGCCGAGGCTATGGGCGCCATCGGGTGCGACGAGGCGCTCCCCGTCCTGCGCAAGTACCTCTCGCACCCGAACCCGGCCATCCGCGAGACGTGCGAGATCGCGCTCGACAAGGTGGTGTTCGACAACTCGGACGAGGGCAGGAAGCAGGCCGACAAGTGCGTCCCCTCCTCTCCCTCTCACATGGAGCACCTCTCCTCGTACGAGCGATCGACTGACGACAGTCTTCCCCCGCGCACGCAGCCAGTACCCGTGCATCGACCCCGCGCCGGCGGCGGCGGCGCCAACGCACTCGCCCCTCGTCGCGTCGGCCCACTCTGCCGCGCTCGCGCCCGCATCCGCCAACCTGTCGATCGCCGAGCTCGAGCGCCAGCTCATGGACACGAGCCTGAGCCTGTTTGACCGGTACCGCGCCATGTTTGCCCTGCGCAACGTCGGCGACCGCGAGGCCGTGCTCGCGCTCGCGAGGGGGTTCGAGGACGACAGCGCCTTGTTCCGGTGCGTCGGCTCTGTCTCTCTCTCTCCCTCCCTTCGTCTCTCTGCATCCCTTCAGGATGCACAGAGCTGATAGGGACCGCCCGCCCGGACGCAGGCACGAGATCGCGTTCGTCTTTGGCCAGCTGTCGTCCGAGCACTCTGTGCCGGCCCTCGTCGACGTCCTCCGGCGCCCGCACGAGGAGGACATGGTCCGCCACGAGGCCGCAGAGGCCCTCGGCGGCATCGCGACCGACGAGTGCCTGCCCGTCCTGCGCGAGTTTGCCGCGCGCGACGACGTGCCGAGGGTCGTGAGGGAGAGCTGCGTCGTCGCGCTTGACATGGTGCGTCCCCCCTCTCTCTCGCTCTCTCTCTCTCCTTCTCTCGTCGGCAGAGGGACTGACCTTGCGCCCCTCGCAGTACGAGTACGAGCGCTCGGGCGAGTTTGTCCCGCTCCCGACCCTCTCGAGCGCGACCGCCGCCGCTTAGACTCCCTCCCTCCCTCCCTCTCCTCGCCCGCATGCACACACCTTACCCCTCGCCTCACCCACTCCCTCTCCCTCTCTCGATACCCTGCGCCTCGAGCCGTGCGCGACCGACCGCAGCGCGCGCGCCTCCTCCTCCTTCCCCCCTCTTGTAGCTCTGCAACTCGCGTCGTTGGCTTCGTGGATTGGCTCGTTGGACTCTGAGAGCGACATAGGTGAGAGTGTGCGGCTTGCAAGGTGCGCTGAGCGAGGCGGTGCGGGTCGACGTGTCCCGGAGGATGCGACTTGCGCGTTCGTCGGAGTCCGCCACCTGCTCGCCCTCCTCGCCCCTCTCTCTACCTCACCCGCCGAGTGTCGCCCCTCGCCCCCTCGCCCGACCCGACCCACCCATGGCGCAACCCGGCACCCCGCGCTTCGGCGGCGGCCGCGTTCCCGTCGACTCGCCCGACGTCGCCTCGTTGACGCTCCTCAACCCGCTCCCCGTGTGGGCCAGGTGCTACGTCCTGCCCTGGCTCGTCGCGTACCCGCTCGCGTACCACGCCTTCTTCAACGAGTACGACCAGTGGATCAAGTCGATCGGTGAGTGGCCCTCTCGCTCTCTCCTCCCTCCTCCCCTCCTCCTCGCGAGCCTCCCTCGGCACCCTCTGACTGCTCCTCTCACCGGCGCAGAATGGACCTTCCTCCTAAGCATCGTCCTGTTTGGCGGCCACGCCCTGTCGTTCCTGTTCACGCGGTGGAGCATCTCGTTCCGGTCGCGCGGCGAGGCGAGCCGCACCAACCACCTCGACTCGGCCCACATGGTCATGGTCCTCCCCAAGCTGCACCGCGGCAAGCCGGGCTTCTGCACCCTCGAGCACACAAAGGTGCGCCCCGCGCTCGTCCTCTCCCTCTTTCTCTCCTCGACTCGACTCGACGGGGCCCAACTCAGGAGCTGACCCTCTCCTTCTCGCAGCGTCCCGGCCAGCACGACCTCATCTTCTTCTCGTACCAGCGCGACAAGTACCAGTTCGACCCGGCGACGCAGCGCTTCACCCGCATCGCGTACCCGTGCGACTCGGCGCCCGCGCTGTCGACCTTCCACGCGGCGTCGGGCGGGCTCAAGACGGCGGCCGACATCGAGACGGCGAGGGCCAACTACGGCAAGAACCACTTTGACATCCCCGTGCCGACTTTTGGCGAGCTGTTTGCCGAGCACGCCGTCGCGCCCTTCTTCGTGTTCCAGGTCTTCTGCGCCGGCTTGTGGTGCATGGACGAGTACTGGTGCGTTCTCCCCTGTCCCTCTCTCTCTCTCTCCCTCGAGGGGCCCGACACTGACCCTGCGCACACGCCGACAGGTACTACTCCCTGTTCACGCTCTTCATGTTGATCGTGTTCGAGTGCACGACCGTCTTCCAGGTGCGTCGCCTCGAGCCTCTCCCCTCTCTCTCCCTTGAGCACGTGCGAACCGAGACTCACGGACATTCGGGCCCGCCCTGCAGCGCCTGCGCACGGTCAACGAGTTCCGCAGCATGTCGATCAAGCCGTACGCCATCATGACCCGCCGCGAGGCCAAGTGGGTCGAGGTCCAGACGGACGAGCTCCTGCCCGGCGACGTCGTCAGCATCGGTGCGTCTCCTCCCTCTCTCCTTCTCTTGAGTGTGCTCCCCCGAGACGACGTCGAGCTCACGTGCGCCCACACCCCGCAGTGCGCACCAAGGAGGACTCGGGCATCCCGTGCGACCTGCTCCTCTTGCGCGGCTCGTGCATCGTCAACGAGGCCATGCTCTCGGGCGAGTCGACGCCGCTCCTCAAAGAGTCGGTCGAGGTGCGGCCCGGGTCGGACAAGCTCGACATTGACGGCGTCGACCGCAACTCGATCCTGTTTGGCGGCACAAAGGTCCTCCAGGCGACCGGGCTCGACCACAAGGACGGCGCCGCCGCGCCCGACGGTGGGTGCCTCGCCATCGTGCTCCGCACCGGGTTCGGCACCTCGCAGGGCCAGCTCATCCGCACCATGATCTTTTCGACCGAGACGGTGACGGCCAACAACATCGAGTCGTTCCTCTTTATTGGGTTCCTCCTCGTCTTTGCGCTCGCCGCGAGCGCCTACGTGTGGGTCAAGGGCCTCGAGCAGGACCGCAAGCGCTCAAAGTTGCTCCTCGACTGCGTCATCATCATCACGTCGGTCGTCCCGCCCGAGCTCCCCATGGAGCTCTCGATGGCCGTCAACGCGTCCCTCGTCGCCCTCAGCAAGTACTGTACGTCCCTCCCCCCTCTTTCTCTCTCTGTGTCTCTGTGTGTGTTCGCGCTCGCGGTCGCTCACCTCGCACCCCTCCTCCCCCCTCGCGCGCATGGACACAGCCATCTTCTGCACCGAGCCGTTCCGGATCCCGTTCGCCGGTCGCGTCGACATCTGCTGCTTTGACAAGACGGGCACCATCACGGGCGAGGACCTCGTCGTCGAGGGTGTCGCCGGCGTCGAGTGCGTCTCGCTTTCTCTCTCGCTCTCTCCTCTCCCGGACTCGCCCTGACCGCGAGCCCTCCCTGCCCGCGCAGCTCGAACGACCACCAGAAGCTCGTGCCCGTCACCGACGTCAGCCTCGAGACGTCGCTCACGCTCGCCGCCGCCCACGCGCTCGTCCTCCTCGACGACGGCGTCGTCGGCGACCCGATGGAAAAGACGACGCTCGACGCCCTCAAGTGGAAGCTGTCGGCGGGCGACAAGATCACGCCGACGGCCGACGCGCTCCACAAGAAGGACAACGTGTCGGTCACGGTCCGCCGCCGGTTCCAGTTCTCGTCGCAGCTCAAGCGCATGTCGACCATCTCGCTCGTCCACACGCCGGCCGGCCAGCGCACGCTCGTCGCCGTCAAGGGCGCGCCCGAGACGCTCAAGGCCATGTTCACCTCGGTCCCGCACGACTACGAGCGCACGTACAAGGGCTACGCCCAGCGTGGCTCTCGCGTCCTCGCCCTCGGGTACAAGTTTGTCGACGGCATGAACAAGGGCGACGTGACGACCATCGCGCGCGACGCCGTCGAGAAGGACCTCGTCTTTGCCGGGTTCCTCGTGTTCCACTGCCCGCTCAAGCCCGACGCCGTCAAGACGCTCAAGGAGCTCGCCGACTCGAGTCACCGCTGCGTCATGATCACGGGCGACAACCCGCTCACGGCGGCGCACGTCGCACGCGAGGTCGAGATTGTCGACCGCCAGGTCCTCATCCTCGACCTCAAGGAGGGCGCAAAGTCCGAGTCCGGTCCGTCCCTCGTCTTGTTCTCCTCGTCGTCTTTGTCCGGGACTGACCCTTCGCCGCCGCCCTCAGACCTCACGTGGCGCACCGCCGACGAGTCGGTCGTCATCCCTGTCGACCCGTCCGAGCCGCTCGACACGTCCCTGTTCGACCGCTACGACATCTGCATGACGGGCGCCGCGCTCAAGCAGTACGCCGACCGCCGCGAGTCGTGGCACCAGCTCGTCCAGCACACGTGGGTCTACGCGCGTGTGTCACCGGCGCAGAAGGAGTTCATCCTCACGACGCTCAAGAGCCTCGGGTTTGTCACGCTCATGGCCGGCGACGGCACCAACGACGTCGGCGCGCTCAAGCAGGCCAACATTGGCGTCGCGCTCCTCAACGGCACCGAGGACGACCTCAAGGCGATCCTCGAGCACCAGAAGAAGGAGCGCGTCAAAAAGGTGTACGAGCAGCAGCTGCGCATCACGAGCCGCTTTGGGCAGCCGCCGCCGCCGGTGCCGCCCATGATCGCCGACCTGTTCCCCGACGCGGTCAAGGCCCAGCAGGAGGCCGCCAAGCTCGTCCAGAGCGACAAGGCCAAGGGCAAGGCGTCCAAGGTGCGTCGCTCTCGCTCTCCCAATCTCCCTCTCTGCCTCGCCGCACAGGACTGATCCTCCCCCTCGACTTGGCGCTCGCAGTTTGACGTGTCGGCCATCTCGGAGCAGCTGTCGAACCTCGAGGACGACCAGGAGGTGCCGCAGATCAAGCTCGGCGACGCGTCGGTCGCGGCGCCGTTCACGTCCAAGCTCGCCAACGTCGCCGCCATCACGCACATCATCCGCCAGGGTCGTTGCACGCTCGTCGCGACGATCCAGATGTACAAGATCCTCGCGCTCAACTGCCTCATCTCGGCGTGGGCGCTCTCGGTCCAGTACCTGCAGGGCATCAAGTTTGGCGACTACCAGGTGACGATCACGGGCGTCCTCATGTCGGTGTGCTTCATGTGCATCTCGCGTGCCCGGCCCGTCGACCGCCTGAGCAAGGAGCGGCCCCTGTCGAGCATCTTCAACCTCTACGTCGTCGGCTCGATCCTCGTCCAGTTTGCGATCCACGTCGCCGCCTTCATCTACCTCACCAACCTGTGCGAGGTGTACGAGCCGTACGTCCAAGCGTCCTCCTCGCCTCGTCGTCGTTCTTGAGCGAGCTCCTGACTCTCGTCTCGCCGCTCACAGGCAAGCCGGTCTCGAGGTCGACCTCGACGCCAAGTTCTCGCCCAACCTCCTCAACTCGTGCATCTACCTCATCTCGCTCAGTCGTGCGTCCCCTCGTCCTCTCGAGCCTCAGAGAGAGCCCGTCACTGACCCCTCGAGCGCCGCCCCGTCCGCAGAGCAAATCTCGACCTTTGTCGTCAACTTCCAGGGCCGGCCGTTCCGCGAGAACATTTCCGAGAACTCGGCCCTGTACTACGGCCTGCTCGGCGTCGCCGCCGTCGCCTTTTCGGGCGCGACCGACTTTGTCCCCGAGTTCAACCGGTGGCTCCAGCTCGTCGACATGGACACGTCGTTCCGCACCAAGCTGTGCGTCGTCATGGCCGCCGACTTTGCCGGCGCGTGGGTCGTCGACATTGCGCTCAAGACCCTCTTTGCCAACAACAAGCCCAAGGAGATCATCAAGCGCGGCGCCGAGCGGCGCGAGGCGAGGCGCGAGGCCGAGAAGCGCGAGCAGGAGGCCGACGAGGTGGTCAAGAAGGAGCAGTGAGAGAGGGGCGTCGTCGGGTCTTCCTCTTTAGAGTTCTCTCTTTCCCTCGCACTGCAAAATGGTTTCCGTCTCCGTACAACTCGAGAAAGGCGACGTGAGAGGGCTCGAGAGGAGGCGGTGCAGGAGCCTCGCCCGCACGCGCCTCGCTTGCCTCTTCTCTCCTCCCTCTCGCTCTCGCCACGCGCTCGACGCACCTGCTGCGACTCTTCTGGGCATCATCAGTACTTCAGCCATCTATCGCAAGGTCGCCCCTGTCCCGCACGAGCATCGGTAAGCCCGCGCCTCCTCATCGCCTCCTCCACGTCGAGGAGCTCGTCCGGGACCAGCAGCGCGACCGGGTCGCGCGAGAAGCTTCGGGACTGACTCGAGCACCTACAGTCTCTACCCTAGCCTACAGCTCGCAGCCTTGTCGCCACCTCGCGCCGGCACGGATCCCTCCCTCTCTTCGTCACCGTCACGTGCTTCTCCACCTCGACGATCTGGTTCGGCATCACCGTCAAGGCCCTCGACCTCTGCATCGCGGCCATGGCCTTTGTCGAGATCAAGCCGACCCTCCTCGCCATCGACCTCATCCTCGCGAGAAAGGCGGCGGGCACGCTCGCGACGACCGTCGTCCCGGACAATGTGAACGTCGGCGCGCTCCCCGTCGAGGTCTGGGACATCGTCAAGCTCGAGCTGTCCGCCCTGTCGTACGTCGAAGAGTACGCGGGCCTGGAGGACCGGTTCAACCCGGGCTGGTCGGTCGACTCGTCCTGGGAGGAGGACGGGCCCCTCACGTTCTACAACCTGCTCTCGAACGAGATGGGCTTCTACAACTTCTTCCACGAGACCAACGTTTGCTCCTTCACCGACGTGCGCAAGAAGGTGCGCGCACGCCCTCTTATCGCACGTCGGCGGGCCGGCACTGACTCACCGCTCTTCGCGCAGGACGTCGCCAGCCTCCTCGAGCACTTTGGCTTGTGCCTGGCGTCGCCTGCCCTGATCTGCAACACGGGCGAGGACACGCGGGCCGACTTCAACGCCGCTTGGCCCGTCGCCATCCCGCTCGTTGGCGAACAGAGCCAGAGCTACCCGACCGTCGAGACAACGATCGCGCACGACGAGCTCAGCGCCCATCGCGTAGCGCGCATCTCGCCCTCGGCGCTCGAGCTCCCCATAGGCGCCGTCGGGCGGTTCCGCCGCCTCCTCGCTGCGTACCCCGCCGTCTCGCCCTTCTCGGTTTCGAGCGACACGTTCCGCTCGCCGGCCGACAGGACACCGGCCGCCGTCGCCGACGACTAAGGCGTCGCCAGCGACCAAAGGAAGAGCTTCAAGAGCAGGTTCGGGTCGAAGGAGCGTTGGGCGCGCGAGAAGGAGCGCCGGCGCGTGAAGGAGAGGGCCGAGCGCAAGGCGGCGAGCGTGCCAGGGTGGATGCTCCTCGGCGGCGGTCGGACGTGCACGTAGAGGCTTGAGCAGATGCAGCGCGCTTGTCTGTCCGTGCCTCTCTCGAGCCTCCTGCGACGAGTCGAACGAGAGCGAGAAAATCTCTCGTTGCGCTCTCGGCTGCAGCCGTCCGCTCCCGAGTTCTGCTGTCGACAGCAAGCTTCGTGTTGCACCGAGCTCGAGAGCCAGAGGAGGCTACTTGACGCAGAAGAAGCTCAACCCCCACCTCGCACGCTCGACCTCGTCGACGAGCGCACGGTCGTCCTGCTCGTACCACTTGTCCTCGTCGGCAATCTCGCTCTGCTTGGTCGTCTTCCACAGCTTGTCGAACCGGGCCTTCTTGGCCGCGAGGCGCGACATGCCGACGGGCGACGAGTGGCCGGTAAAGACGATGAGGGCCGTGAGGGGAGGGAGTGCGGCGTGCAGGGCGCGCAGGCGCTTGTCGAGCGACGCAAAGGCGGTGTCGAGCGACTCGGGCGAGGGCTCTGCGGGGCCGTCGGCGGTCGTCGACGTCGCGTCGCTCGACGCGGGCTTGGCGGAGGAGGACGGCTGGGACCCTGCGACGCGAGGTGGGTGAGCAGGCTTGGACGCACAGAGAGAAAGAGAGAGAGAGAGAGGGACGCACAGCCGAGCGTGTGCGAGAGGTCCATGAAGCGGCCGATCGTGAGGTCGTGCTTGTCGACCGAGTCGAGCATGCCTTGCAGGACCTGCGCGAGTCGCTCGAGATGAGCCCGAGGCGGCGAAAACGAAAAGAGGAGGCGGGACGCACCTCGTCGTCGTTCGAGCACGCGATGGCGGTCGTCGCCTTGGCGCCGTGCCACTGGCCAGGCGTGCCGTGGTCGACCACCGCCGACGTTTTCGGGTCCTGCCCGCGCCCGATCCGCTCAAAGATCGTCTCCTGGTCCGTGACGAACTCGCCAAAGCCGGGACCTGCGCAGGGGAAGGCAGAGAAGAGTCAGGTGCTAGCTCGACGTGGCAAGAAGGAGCTTCCGGTGCAGGAGGACGGCTTCATGCTCGAGACCGAAAGGCTGGCTCGACGTCAGGGAGAGAGAGTTGGACGCACCCTTCTCCATCTTGAGCCTGACGAGCTCAATTGCCGTCCTCGCGTCCTCCTCCGAGTCGTGCCCGCCGACCGTGCCGTCCTCGCTGTTGGCGACCGCCGCCTGGATCTCCTTCTTGAGCCACTTTTGCGCGAGCCACTTGAGCGACGCCTTGAACGGCGGGCCGCGAGGGTGCTGGTAGATGACCGACGTGTCGATCACGCGCGAGTGGACGAGCTGCGGCAGGGTGGACAGGGCGAGTCAGTTCTCAGGCTCGAGGCGGAGGAGGAGAAGGGGAGAGAGCGAGGCCCAGTGGCACACCTTGAGCACCTTGAGGTCGCACTCGAGCGAGTGCCCGACGAGGATCGTGTTGTAGTCGAGGAGCTGCGTCAAGTCGCGCTGCACGTCCTCGAGCCGGGTCGTGACGCCCTCGAGGGCCTTCTCGTCCAAGCCCGAGTAGCTGCGCCGCGAGAGAGACGCTGTCAGTCAGGCTCGCGATAGCGCGAGGGAAGAGGAGAGAGGGAGAGACGCACCGCGTGAGGTAGTCGACGATGGGCTGGTCCGGCTTGACGAGCTTGTCGTAGATGCGCTTGCCGGCGAGGTCGACCACGCTCAGGCGCGTGAGCTCCGAGCCGTCGGCCGTCAGGCACTGCAGGTCGGGAGAGGGTGTCAGTCGAGGTGCGGCAAGGGGAGATGTGACCCAGAGAGCGCGAGAGAGGGACGCACCATCTCGCAGTCGAGGCCGAGGACGCGCTTGGGCCCCTCCTTCTCGGGCAGGTACGGCGCCTCGATCCAGCCGTCGGCCTTTTTCCAGTCGTTGAACGAGAAGGTCGCGTCGAGGTCGGTCGGGAGGGGTGAGGGACGAGGCGACGGCGTCGGGTACGCCTGCTCGGCCATTTGGTCGGGCGACATGAGGTAGACGCTCGGGTCCGAGGTGCGCTGCGCCTGGCCGCCTGCGAGCACAATCAAGCGAGTCAGTGAGACGTTCGACGGCCGTGTCGAGGTGACGAGAGCGCAGGAACTCACGCTCTTTGCGCGCCCGCTCTCGGCGGTCCTTCTCGGCGCCGGTGAGAGGGCACGTCGTGAAGCTCTGGTACGGCGAGTGCATGCGGTTGCGCTCGCCCGGCGCCTTGGTCGGGCACGCGTGCGAGAAGAGCGACTGCATGACCGAGACCTTGCACGACAGGCCGTCGGACGACGGGCGCAGAGCGAACGGGAGGTTGGTCGACACGGGCGGCTGGGCGATGCCGAGATCGGGCGCGAGGATGCCGGGCGCCATGACGCACACGACACGACGAACGTTGCTGCGGTTCTGTGGGTCAGATACCCAGGTCAGCGACAGTCTGCGTGGAGAAAAGAGACGGGGAGACGCACCTTGACGAAGAGCCACGACTGCGCCTTGTCGTTGGCGAGCAGGTGGAGGACAAAGTCGCGCACGTCCTGTATCGTGACGGAGGGATCAGTGCGAGCTCGCGAATGCTCGTGAGGACAGGGTGCGCACCTTGACCTGGACCATGCGCCCGCCGGTGAAGCCGCGTGTGTCGAACGAGAAGCTCGGCGGGTTCTCCTGCGCACGACGCACTGGGTCAGCTCGGCTCCGTGTGTGTACGGGTGGACTGAGGGGACGCACCAATGCCCGCTGCTCCTCCTTCCTGCGCTTCTTGGCCTTGCCCTTGTCGAGCTTGGAGAGCTCCTTGGTTGACTTGAGCCCATCTGCCGCGCCGGCATGGTCCGAGCCCGCCTGCGAGTCGTCGTCCTGGGTGGCCGAGACGGTGGCCGGGCCGTCCTGAAGCTTGCGCTTCTTGGACGAGTGCGAGTCGGAGGAGGCGACGGGGACGGGGTGGTCGAGGGCGAGCGAGGCGACCTTGGCCTTGTGCGGCAAGGCTGAGGGCGACATGGTCGAGCTGATCGGTGCAGAGCTCCCTGCACTCTCGCTCGTCGGGAGAGCGAGTCGAGGTCGAGAGCGAGCCAGGGAATCTTCATCGGTTCGCCTCCTCCTTTCATCTCCCTCCCATCTCTCCCACGGCTCGGCTGGGCGAGCGCACTCGTGGAAGTGCTTCGAGGGTGCCTGCTGCTGTGCATGCCCCCACGCGCTGGTCGAGCCGGGCGACCCCTGCCTTGCTGTCCTCCTCGCTCGCTCAACCTCCCCGCCGACGCGGCGGGCGCCCTCAGCTGCCTGCCGCGCGACCACGGGTACCTCGCCGGTTCAAGCTGGCGAGGGCGTGCGTCCCGAGGGACGCGGCCGAGCTACCGGTCCTTTCCAGCTGGCCATCTGCGCTTCCTCTCGCTCGCTCGCGCTCTCAGTCCGAGGCCGTGATCTCGGACCGCGTCCATCGCAAAGTGCACAACAACGAGGACCAGCTACAAACGCGCCTCACGACCTGAGCCGCACCCGCACCTCGTCGCCAACCCGCACGCACGTCCCGCCCTCGTCGCCCCCTCCCTCGCCGAGCTCGTCGCGCCAGAGCATGTGGGCGCCAAACTCGACGCGCCCGTTCGTCGCGTTCTTGCGCGTGAGCGAGAGAGTCGCGAGGGGCTCGGCGGTGCGGGCTCCCGTCGTCTGCGCGGACGAGGGACGGTCAGTTGCGGCCGCTCGAGGCGCGAGCGAGGGAGGAAGAGAGGAGAGGCGGGCGCACCTGGTCGATCGAGACCATCAAGCAGCGCCGACACCGGCCGAGGAAGCTGAACACGGCGCTGCCGGCGCCGACGTTGAGCGCCTCGATGTCGTCCTCCCACCACGGCTCGAGCGCCTCGCCGTCGGCGCCCTCGACGACCAAGTTGGGCCGGAACGCCGCCGCGCGCACGACGTCCGCGCCTGCGCGACCTGCCCCCTCGCTCGCTCGCTCGCGAATCGAGCGCTCGACGGCGCGCAGGCTCTCGCCCGACACGAGGAGGAACGGGCTCTCGTTCGAGAGCCGGAGCGGGAGCGGCGGGCCGGCGCTCGCGCCGTCAAAGTGCGCGTGACGGGACGTGCCCGGCGGCAGGCGGTGCAGCTCGACGGGACCTGGGCCGGCCGACGACGGTGCCGAGGAGGAAGAGGAGGAGGAGGTGGAGGGAGAGGGCGGGTTGAGGAACGAGGTGAACCACGCGTCGGCGAGCGCCGAGAAGCGCTGCGACAGGACGGTCGTGCTGCACAGTGTCGTCGGCTGCGGCGTCGCGCCGGCGCCCGACTCGCTCCCGCACTCGGAGCCGTGCCCGTCCTCGCTCAGCGGCGGCGTCGGGAGCCCGCACGCGCCGAGCTCACTCGCCTTGGACCTCGCGAGCGGGACCTCGAGCGGGTTCATGCCCGGTGCCTCGACGCGCAGGACGCCCCGGGCGCGGTCGATCGACGGGCGGATGAGCGCCATGCGCGTGTACCGCTTCATCGACAGGGCGCGACCGGTCGACGACGAGACGAGCATAAAGTCGCGGTCGTGCAGGAGGCCGGACGGCGCGAGGGGCCACGAGGTCGAGGACAGGATCGGCTGGGCGGCGCACGACTTGATCGGGTCTGCAACGACGGGTCTGTCAGCTGCGACCCGCAGTGAGATGCGAGAGAGAGCGAGAGGGACGCACAGATGTACAGCTCGGCCAACCTCGCCATCTTGACGCCGTTCTCGTTCTGCTGCTGCCCCGCCGACACGCCGCGAGGCACCCGAGGCCCGGAAGCAAGCACGCCATGCGCGCTCACGAAGAAGCGCTTGACGAAGGCGACGAACGCGGCGACGTCGTCGACGGTCGACACGAGGCCGAACGAGATGCGCGAGATGCCGAGCGGGCGGTACGGCGCGAACGGCGCGAACTCCTCTGCGACATGGTAAGGGAGAGCGACCCGTGAGCGCCTGAACGAGACCGGCAAAGAGAGGAAGAGAGGAGGAGCCGACTCACCCTCGTCCCAGCACCGCCCAGCCCCGAGCTCCTCGAGCCTGCGCCGCTCGACCTCGCCCATCCCGACCGCACGGGTCCACGCGCCGGCATTGCACATGCCGCCGCTGCGGAGCGAGATGCCCTGCACGAGCGCGAGCCGCGCGAGGTGCTGGTGCCCGACGTGCGTCTGGCGATAGTCGGTCGGCGAGACGGGGCGCGAGCTGGTCGGGGAGGTGGAGGAGGACGACGAGGAGGAGGAGAAAGAGGCGGAGGGAAGGCGGAGCGAGAACCCGATGATCGGTCCTGGCGGCTCGAGCACGACGGCCCACTCGGCTCCGAGCAGCGGCTCCTCGTCCTCCTCCTCCTCGGCGAGCGGCTCAAACGCGCCATGCTCGACAAACACCTCGCTACCATCGGCATGCCGCAAGCCCCTCAGCTCGCGCCGCGCCACCTCCCTGAGCGCCGCCGCATGCCGCGCGACGCCCTCGAGCCCGGTCCCGCGCGAGATGCGCGCGAGCCAGTCGAGCGCGTGCGACAGCGCGAGGACCTCGAGGTAAGGGGGCGTGCCGTGCTCGAGCGCCTGGTGGACCGTGCCGCTCGGGTCGAGGCGCGGCGAGTGGGTGAAGGGGGGAGAGAGCGAGAGGGACGAGAGGGTGCCGCCGCCGAAGAAGGAGGGGGTGGGCGAGCGCAGGAGGAGGTGCGACGAGGCGCGGCGGACGAGGAGGATGCCGAGAGAGGTGGGGAAGCCCTGTGGGTGGGAGAGGAGAGTCAGTTGCGCGTTCACGCTGCTCGGGCGGCGGCGGTCCGTGCCAGCCTCGTGGCCCCGAGAGAGTAGAAGCGAGCGCGACGCACAAAGATCTTGTACACGCTCGCGACGACAAAGTCGGGCGCCTCGTTGGCGCTCACCGACCCGAGGTCGAGGACGCTCGTCGAGCTGTACGCCGCCGCATCGACGAGGACGGCCGCGTGCGGGTTGGCGCGCTTGATCTGGGCGGCGAAGCGCAGGCCGAGGCGCGCGCCGGTCGCGTTGCACTGGGCCGGGTACGAGTACAGGGTGGGCGTCGGTGCGCGGGTGGACGACGAGGGACGCGCGGCGGAGCGCGACGAGAGGGCCGAGCGGAGGAGGGACGAGGGTGTGCGGTGCGCGGCGACGGGCGAATTGCGCGAGAGGGCAGTGCCGCGCAGGCCGACGAGACTGTGTGGGAGGGCGTGTAGCGAGTTAGCTCTCGCGCTCGAGAGGGAGAGAAGGGAGACGAGAGGCGCACCTCGTATGACTCTCGACGAGGTACTCGTACCCGCCCCCTGCTCCGAGGTCCGCCTCTGCCCTCCAGTCCCACGCGTCACCGAGCGTCCGGATGGCCTGCGTCGCGCCTCCCGGCACAAAGACGACGTCCCACTCGCCGGCACGGTCGTCGGGGACGTTGAACAGCTCGGCGAGGACGCAGGTGCGGGTCTGGTCGATGACGAGGTGGGTCGCGACGGCGGCGGTCGACGCCGAGTGCGGGTTCGAGTACAGGGTCGACGCGAGCGAGTGGGCGAGGGCCGTGACGGGCCCGAGGGGAGCGGGTGGTGCGGCGGCGCAGTCGAGGTAGACTTGGTCTGTGGGAGGTTCGGCAGGGTCAGCTCGTGGTGGGTCGGAGGCAAGGAGGAGGTGGGACGGACCTTTGAGCGCAGGGTAGTCTGCGTCCCTCGCAGCGTGGAACGAGGCCGGGTCGCAGAAGCCGTAGATGAGGCGGTCGCGCTCGTCGAGGCGGACGGGGGGCGCGTCGGGCATGGTGCGTCGTGGACGATAGTAGGTGGGTGTGCAGCTATGGCAGCATCGAGAGCCAGTGTGTGGTGGTGGTGGAGGGGAGCGGGGTCGGCGGACGGAGCGTGGCGGTGCTTTCGGGCGAGGACGACCGGGCGCCGGCGGAGTGCTCTCCTCCTCCCTCCCACCTCGTCCGCCCAGCTCTCTGCCCTTGCTGGCACTCTCGCCGACAGCTCAGCAGAACCCTCCTCGCGCGCCCGCCTTTCCGCGCCACCTCTCGACCACCCTCTCGCGCTTCCCCCACCTCGCCTCAACCACCCGCCGGCCGCCGCCTTTATCGCGAGCCAACCATGGCCGCACCAACCTCTGCGACGGCCGCGTTCGACAGCGTCGCCACCTCGCAGCTCACCTTCTGGCTCAACGGGACCAAGGTCGTCCTCGACGCGTCCCAGATCGACCCCGACACGACCCTCCTCGCCTTCCTGCGCTCTCAGCCGGGCCTCACCGGCACCAAGCAGGGCTGCAACGAGGGCGGCTGCGGCGCAGTGCGTCCCCGCCCCCTCCCTCACAGGTCAAGCGCAGTCTGACCCTCGCTTCTCTCGTCGACGCAGTGCACCGTCGTCCTCCAGAGCATCCACCCGCGCACGAACGAGGTGCAGCACCTCGCCATCAACGCGTGCCTCGCGCCCCTCGTCTGCCTCGAGGGCAAGCACTGCATCACGGTCGAGGGCATCGGCAACTCGGACAACCCGCACCCGCTCCAGGAGCGCATGTTCAAGCTCCACGGCTCGCAGTGCGGCTTCTGCACCCCGGGCATCGTGCGTCCGACCTTCTCTCTCTCTCTCTGCCACAGCCCACACACAGAGATTGATGGAGCGCACGTCTCGCACAGGTCATGAGCGTGTACGCGCTCCTGCGCACGGCGGCGTACCGCGGCTCGCTCGACGTGTCGGACGTCGAGCTCAACGGCGCCCTCGACGGCAACCTGTGCCGCTGCACGGGCTACGCCCCGATCTTTGCCGCCGTCAAGTCGTTCATCGGAGACTACCTCGGCCCCAAGAGTTCGACGTCGTCGAGCTCGCCCCGGCTGTCCTCGTCGTCGTCGACCACGTCGACTGCATCCTCGTCCTCCTCGTCGCCGCCGCGCACGCCCCTCGACGACGACTACGTCGTGCCGTTCAACTTTGACGCGGCCGGCCTCGAGGCGGCCGACACCAAGCGCAAGGCGGCGTGCTGCGGCAACCCGGACGGCTGCGCCGACCAGGTCAGCACCGACGTGTCGCTCCCGGCGCCGTCCATCCTCGAGAAGCCCGACGCACCGCCCATCGACGCCGTCGCCGGCTCAGATGGCCGCACGGCCCCGATCGAGCCCGAGGAGCAGGACACGTTCGCGTCGACGGTCGTTCAGCCCGAGACCAAGAAGAAGGGCTGCGGCCGCCACGACTGCTGCCAGCTCGGCGGCGGCAAGTTCGAGGCGTCGGCGCCGACCGTGTCGTTCCCGCAGTTCGAGTTCAAGCCGTACAAGCCGTCGACCGAGCTCATCCTCCCGCCGTCGCTCATCAAGCACCCGCTCAAGCCCCTCGCCTTTTCGTCGCCGACGCACAACCACCGCCGCTGGTTCCGACCTGTCACGCTCGAGCAGCTCGTCGACCTCAAGCGCGCGCTCCCCAACGCCAAGCTCGTCGGCGGCGCGAGCGAGGTCAGCATCGAGGTCGGCATCAAGGGCGCCGCGTACCCGGACTGCATCTACGTCGCCGACGTGCCCGAGCTCGCGACCGTGTCACTGCCCGACTTTGCGTCGCCGCACCCGGTCCTCGAGTTTGGCGCCAACCTCACCCTGTCGGACCTCGAGGCGGTCCTCAACGAGCTCGTGCGCGACCAGCCCCACGAACGCACGGGCGCCCTGCGCGCCATCCGCGACCAGCTGCGCTACTTTGCCGGGCGCCAGATCCGCAACGCGGCGAGCGTCGGCGGCAACGTCGCGACCGCGTCGCCCATCAGCGACGCCAACCCGGTCTGGGTCGCCCTCGGCGCGTCGGTCGTCGTGCGCGCGCCGAGCGTCAACGCCGGTCAAGAGACGACCATCTCGCTCGCCGACGGGTTCTTCACGGGCTACCGCCAGACTGGCATCCCGTCCGACGGCGTCATCGTGCGCCTCGTCGTCCCGCTCGTCCAGGCCGACGAGGCGGCGGGCGAGAAAGACGTCGTGCGCGCGTTCAAGCAGGCCAAGCGCCGAGACGACGACATCGCGATCGTCACGTCGTGCTTCGCCGTCACGGTCGCCCCGCAGGGCGACGACCAGTGGGTCGTCAAGCGGGCCAAGCTTGTGTTCGGCGGCATGGCGTGCGTCCCTCTCTCTCTCTCTCTTCGCGACAAGGATGTCTACTGACGACGCTCTCGGACCCTGCAGAGCGCACACGATCTCGGCCAAGAAGACCGAGGAGCTCCTCGTCGGCAAGCCCGTCGACTCGACGACGCTCGAGGCCGCGCTCGACGCCCTCGGCGCCGACTTTGACCTGCCGTACTCGGTCCCGGGCGGCATGCCGACCTACCGCCGCACGCTGTGCATGTCGTTCCTGTTCAAGTTCTGGGTCGAGGTCGCCCAGTTGTGCGGCGTCGTGCTCGACGGCGTTCGCAAGTCGGACGAGGACGAGGTGACGTCGCTCATCCACCGCGCGCCGTCGACGGCGACGAGGGACAACTCGGACCCGTACGCGCAGAGCGTCGTCGGGCACCAGATCCCGCACGCGTCGGGCCTCAAGCACACGACGGGCGAGGCCATCTACACGGACGACATGCCCGCGTGGGCCAACGAGGGCCACCTCGCGCTCGTCCTGTCGTCGCGCGCCCACGCCAAGCTCGTGTCGGTCGACCCGTCGGCGGCGCTCGACGCGCCGGGCGTCCTCTCGTACGTCGACTGGCGCGACCTCCCGAGCGAGAAGGCCAACGTGTGGGGCCCGGCCGCCCAGGACGAGTTCTTCTTCGCCAAGGGCGAGGTGACGAGCCACGGTGTCATCATCGGCGCCATCGTCGCGACGACCAAACTCCAGGCGCAGCGCGCTGCACGCCTCGTCAAGATCGAGTACGAGGACCTGCCCTTCGTCTTGACGATCGACGAGGTGCGTCCTCTCTCTCTCTCTTTTTCATTCTCGAGCGACCCTGACCCGCTGCTTCTACGCCCGCAGGCCATCGCCGCCGACTCGTACCACCCGACCTACCACCGCCGCATGGCTCGCGGCACGCCCATCTCGACCGCGCTCGCCGAGTCCGAGTACACGCTCAGCGGCACGACCTACTCGCCGTCGCAGGAGCACTTCTACCTCGAGACGCAGGCGTGCATCGCCGTGCCCAAGCTCGAGAGCGGCGAGATGGAGGTCATCTCGTCGACGCAGGCGCTCACAGAGACCCAGCACTACGTCGCACAGGTCCTGGGTGTCCCGCGCAACCGTGTGAACACCAAGGTCAAGCGGCTCGGAGGAGGAGTGCGTCCCACTGCCTCTCGCTCGCCATCCCGACGTCCCTCACTCGCTCGCCGTCCCGGCTTTGAGAAGGTCGCGCACTGACCCTCTCCCTCTCCTCGGCCGCCCTCCTCTCCTTTCCTTGCCCGCCCTCTCCCCTCACCTCTTCGTCTCCTGCAGTTTGGCGGCAAGGAGTCGAGGACCACCATGGTGCGTCGAGTCTCTGCGCTCTCGGCGAGCAGCCGGACGCCAACTGACCTGATCGTCCTCCCGCAGCTCTCGGCCATCTGTGCCGTCGCCGCCAAGAAGCTCCGTCGCCCGGTGCGCTGCATGCTCGAGCGCCACGAGGACATCAAGATCTCGGGCCAACGTCACCCGTTCCGCACCGACTGGAAGGTGGGCTTCACGGCCGACGGGAAGTTGACGGCGCTCGACGCCGACTTTTTCGCCAACGCGGGCTATTCTCGTGCGTCCTCCTCTCCCTCGACCTCACTCTATCCTGTGTGCGTGTCCTAACCCTCAGCTGTGTGCGCAGTCGACATCTCGGGCGGCGTCGCCGACCGCGCCATCGCCCACGCGACCAACTCGTACTACATCCCAAACGTCGACGTGCGCGCCAAGCTCTGCAAGACCAACACGGTCTCCAACACGGCGTATCGTGTGCGTCCCGCCCCTCTCTCTCCGTTCGTCCTTGGAGCCCGTCCTGACGAGCCACGCGTCGACAGGGCTTCGGCGGTCCGCAGGGCATGCTCGTCGCCGAGACGTACCTTGAGGCCATCGCGACGCACCTCGACCTCGACATTGACGACGTGCGCGCCGTCAACCTGTTCAAGGAGGGCCAGGAGACGCACTACTTCCAGAAGGTCCGTTCCCTTCCTCCTCTCCTTCCCGCGCTCTCCTCCTCGCGTTCTCCTCGACTGACTCTTGCGCCGCACAGGTCCTCGACTTCCACGTGCCCCGTCTCGTCGCCGACTGCAAGCGCGACAGTAACTACGAGGCCCGCAAGGAGGCCGTCGCCGCGTTCAACAAGGAGCACCGGTACCGCAAGCGCGGCATCGCCCTCATCCCCACGACGTTCGGCTTGGCGTTTGGCGTCAAAGCCATGAACCAGGGCTCGGCCCTTGTGCACATCTACATGGACGGCTCGGTCCTCGTGGCGCACGGCGGCACGGAAATGGGTCAAGGACTGAATCTCAAGGCGAGTCGACGTGCCTGCTCGTGCCCTCGACGTTCACTAACGTCGCCCACCGTCTCGCAGTGCCTGCAAATTGCCGCCGAGGAGCTCAAGGTGCCGTTGGAGGCCGTCTTTACCAGCGAGACCTCGTCCAACACGGTCCCGAATATGCCGCCGACCGCCGCGAGTGCAGGGAGCGACCTAGTGCGTGGCGCTCCTCTCTCTCACCTCAACGTCTGTCGCACTCGACCCTGACACTGGACCTCTCCGTCCGCAGAACGGCTACGCCGTCCTCAACGCCTGTATCGAGCTCAACTCGCGCATCGCCCACCTTCGCGAGAAGCTCGGCTCCGACGCGCCCATGACCGCCCTCGCCGGCGCAGCGTATGGCGAGCGCATCAGCCTCAGCGCGACGGGCCACCACGCGACGCCCAACCTCGGCTACGTCTGGAACGTGCAGGAGAGGACGGGCGACCTGTTCAACTGTGCGTCGCAACTTTCCTCTACCTCTCTCGCGCCGCCTTCCTCAGCATCCTTCTCCGTCTTCACGAGCAGTGCCCTGACTCGCGCCGCACCCGCAGACTTTACGCAGGGCGCCGCCGCCGCCGAGGTCGAGCTCGACACGCTCACGGGCGACCACACGGTCCTGCGCGTCGACATCAAGATGGACGTCGGCCGCTCGATCAACCCGGCGATCGACTACGGCCAGGTCGAGGGCGCGTTCGTCCAGGGCCAAGGTTGGGCGACGATGGAGGAGTCGCTCCACCTTCGCAACGGCGCTCTCTTCACGACCGGGCCGGGCGCGTACAAGGTGCGCCCCCTGTCTCTCTCTCCTTCTCTTCTGTCTCGTGACGACGACGCTCACCTCGCTCTCTATCTCGCAGATCCCGGGCTTCGCCGACATCCCGCAGCAGTTCAACGTCTCGCTCCTTCGCGACGCCGAGTGGCCCAACTTGAGCACCGTGCACACGAGCAAGGGCGTCGGTGTGCGTCTCCCTCTCTCTTCTTCTCTCTCGTGTGTGCGTCGTTGAACGAGACTGATCTCTCTCGCCTCGTCTGCAGGAGCCGCCCTTCTTCCTCGGCGTCTCGGTCGCGCTCGCGCTCCGGCACGCCCTGCGCTCGGCGCGCGAGGATGTCGGCATCCCGCCCAAGGACCTCCTCGAGTTCCGGTTCCCGCTCACGGCCGAGCGGCTGCGCCTCGCCGTCGGCGACAAGCTCGTCCAGCGGAGCGAGGTCAAGCCCAAGGACGAGAAGGACAAGGGCTTCTTTGTCACGCTGTCGTAGATCTCTCTCTCTTTCTGTGACGCTTGTTGTTCTCTCGGGTCATGACGTGAGGAGAGAGCGCAGAAAGAGATACACTGCAGGACGACGAGGGGGGTATGACAGCGAGAGGGGGAGAGCGAGAGAGGAGGGTCTAGGCGTCGCCGAACAGCTTGCGCACAGCCTTCAGAACCGAGTCCTTTGACGGGTCGTACGGGTGATCCTTGCTCGGGATCTCGAGGAGGGCCGGAAACGCCTGCGTGTACTTCTCCACGAGCGGCCGAATCTGGTCGGCCACCTGCGCGAGGGGGAGGATGTGGTCAGCTCTTGAAACGGCTGTCGAGGGAGAGACAGCCGACGCACGTGCTGGTTGATGAGGAGGATGGCGATGTCGCTGCGCTCGGTGAACTCGGCAAAGGCGGCCTCGATGGTCGATTGAGGCGTCTCTGCGCAGAGGGGGAGGGTGCGAGGTGTCAGCGTCGGCGCGCTACATGTGGAGCGCGAGGCTCGCGCAGAGGTCCCTCCACTACTCCCGCACCACACCGAGCCCGCCGCAAGCCTTGCCCGTTGCCGTGACGAGCGAGAGGGACGTGTGCGAGATGAGGACGAGGGGACGAGGCTCGCGAGGGGGAGAGGGTCGTGGGAGCGCGCGACTCACTCGAGTCGACGACGACAAAGTTCTTCTTGCCTCGCTCGAGGTGCCCAGTCCCGGCAAGGAGGAGGCCGGTGACAGTGTCCTGAGGGAGATGAGGCGGTGTCAGCGGGAGGGGAGGACGGGAACAGCTCGGGGAAAGAGGTGGGTGGGCTCACCTCGTCACCGATGGTCGCTATGAGCGTTCGGTCCTTGTACTGGGTCGTCATGGCGCCGTGGGCGTGTGGGAGGACGACGACGACGACGACGCCCCACTGCCTCGGCTCTCTCTCCTGCCCTCTCCTCGACCACGGCACTCCTCGACTTGCTGAGACGGCCAGATGGAACTGCAAGCAGCCTCGAACGGCATCTGCACCTTCCCTGTACGGCTGCAGGGCGACGACCAGAGCTTGCGGGCAGCTCTCGGCAGGGCGGGCGACGAGATCGTCCTCGTCGCGGCGGAGCAAAGCGTGCGGGCACGGCGCGAGTCGCCGAGTGCGCCCATAGCACGGCTGAGCGTACTTGTCGCCGAGGACCCGTTCCCGGGCTTGACCATGGACGGCCGACAGATGATCTGGGTGCGCCCCCTCTCGCTCAGCGTCTCGCGCCCCTGGTCGCGGTACTGATGCTCGATGCCTGCAGGTCAAGGACTACTCGGAGAACGCGGGCTTGCTCGAGCAGTTGGAGGAGGCGGGGGCCTTGCGTCGGTGCGTCCTCCCCTCCTCCCCTCCTCCCCTCCTCCCCTCCTCCCCTCCTCCTCGACCCGCATCGTCCGCTCACCGCGCTGGCGCACGCCGCAGAACAGGGTCGACGATCCCGCAGGGGCTCGTCAGGCTACCGCTTGCCGTCGTCGTCCTCAACGAGCGCGAAATGGCGCAGCGGTGCGCGCTCGAGGGCTGCGACGAGGTCGAGTCGGTCGAGACGACCGAGCGGTACAAGCGCTGCAGCTCGTGCAGCCGGCGATACTATGTGCGTCCCCCTTTTTCTGCCTGGGTCGTACCTCGTCCTGCGGCTGACGGTCCGCTTCCACAGTGCTCGACAGAGGTGCGCCCTCGTCCCCCTCTTCCCGACCTCGAGCAGTCGCACCCTCTCTCTCCTCGCCGCACTAACTCGCCTCCTCCCCCTTCCTCCCTGCGACAGCATCAACACGCACATTGGCCACGACACAAGCAGGACTGCAAGGACCTCGCCGCCGGCCGCTTCACGCAGGTCGAGATGAGGCGCCGAGCTCAAGACGAGCTGCCGCCCCGCGAGCACGAGTAGCGCCGTTTCGTCGTCGTCGAGGAATGCCAGCCGCGTTGCTCGAAGGCGCTCAAGCTCGAGCGGCGAGCGGGCAGGACTCGAAATGCTGAGACTCGGGCTGCTCTCGCTCGAGCCCCTGAGCTCCTGGCCCCTCGTCCGTGCGCCGGAGGCGCCGAGCGGCGTTCGCGCGGGCTCGTCAATGCTCCGCGGCTCTCGGCTGGCTTCTCCCTCTCTTCCGCTCGCTGCTTGCGCCTCTCGCCTCTCGAGCTGCTTTCCTCGCCCGAGCGCTCGCACCTCGACCGTCCTCGACCCAGCCCTGCGCTCGGCGACTTTCCGCCTCGTGCCACCTCGTGCCGCCTCGCCATGTCGCTCGACATCAAGCTCTCGACGCCGACGCAGTGCGCGAACCAGACGCTCACGTGGAGCGGGCCGCCTGTGCGCAAAGGGATCGGGATGTGGGTCCAGGGCACGGTGCGTCCTCCTCTTGCTCCCCTCTCGCGCCCGCACTGCCGCAGGAGCGAGCTGACCTCGTCGCACCACCCCGGCCGCCGCCGCCGCCGCAGAACTACTTTGCCGAGATCCTGACCGACAGCTTCACCGACACGCTCGGCACCGTCTCGTGGGTGTGCGACGTGCCGGCCGGCGCCTGGATCGCGTTCGAGGTGTTTGACGTCGCCAACGCGACGAGCTGGGCCGCGTCGCAGTTCTACCAGGTGCAGCCGGGTACGACCGACGAGTGTCTGAGGACCAACGAGGGCCAGAAGGCCGTCGAGTCGATGGCGGCGCTCGCGAGCAGCTTGTCGAGCGCGAGCCCGCAGCTGTTCACGTACCCGCCGTGCGTCCCTCTCTTTCTCTCCCTCTCCCGGGGTCCTCTCGCGGTGACGGCAGCGCTAACTCGTCGTTGCGTCGACTCGTCGCAGGACAACAACCCGCACCCTCGTTCCGGCGACGACCCAGCCCCTGTCCTCCTCGACCTCGCTCTCGCCGACCGACTCGCCCTCGTCCTCCTCGTCCCTTGACGTCGGCGCCCTCGCAGGCGGCATCGCCGGCGGCGTCCTCGGCATCCTCGCCCTCGCCGCCATGCTCTTCCTCCTCGTCCGCCGCCGCGCCCGCCGCCGCCGCCAAGGCCGAGCCGGCTCGAGCCTCGCTCCCGACACGGAAAAGGCGACCGGCGCTCCTCCCCAGCACGCCCCGGCGGGCTTCTTCCGCACCATGAGCAGGTCGGGCAACCCGGTCGACGCGTGGCGCAACCGGGTCCAGTCGGGTGCGCCGCCGTCGGCGCGCACGCGAGCCCCGTCCGGCGCGACGACGACGGTCGGCGGGGCGCTGAGCCCGTTCAAGCGCTCCGCGGCGGCGGGCCCGGCGGGACAGCAGCAGCAGCAGCCGCAGCAGCAGTCGCTCGGGCCGCGAGCGGGCGTGCCCGAGGTGGGCGAGGCGGGCGACCATGAGGCGCACCGCCGGGGAGGAGGGGGGCCGCTCGGCGACGGGTACGGCGCGCTGCCACTCGCGAGCGCGTCGGCGACTCGGCTGCTCGAGACGCACGAGGGCGGCGGCGAGGCGTTGGGCATGGTGCGGCCGCCGACGAGGTTGACGACGCCCGGCGGGCTGACCGAGTTTGGTGGAGCGGGCACAGCCGAGGGGTGGAGGGGCCGGGACGAGGGCGACGGGCAGGGGTACGCGAGCTATGCGAGGGGGTCGTAGAGACGAGCGAGGCTGCAGCGGCGTTGCGTGGACGAGACGGCGATGAGAGACGGTGTCCGAGAGCGGCGTCTCGCCGAGAGAGGCGACGAGGAGATGAGCGGGCGGTCCTCGCTCGGCCGGTCGTGGTCGGTGTTCAGGGCAGCTGCGAGAGAAGTTGGTCTCGCAGAGAGCAGGCTGCAGGGGCTGAGTGAGAGGAAAGAAGCTCGGAGCTGGCCGACGCCATCGCCGTCGCGCCGTCTTCCTGACGCTCACCCTCCCCAACTATGCCGACACCCAGGCGAGTGCCCGTCACCTCGCTCTGGAGGCACCCTGCACCCCCAGCACACCGCCCACCAGCTCGCCCCTTCGCTACCGCCCCTCCACCAGCTCGACGAGGCGTCGTCGACCTCGCCCTCCTCGGAGCCGCTGGCGCCGCCATCACCGGCTTCCTCCTGTACCGCGGGTCCGCCAAGGGCAACGACGACATGCCTGGCCCGACAGAGGGCGAGCGCACCAGCTTCACCGTCCCCGTCATCGCCCAGTGCGTCGTCCTCCCCTCCTCCTTCCCTTGTTCCCGATGCGGGGCATCCTTCGAGATCGCTCACTCACCGCTCGAACCGCGACCGCAGGACCGGCGCCACGGGCACCAAGACGCTCACGCTCCTCAGCCCCGCCGAGACCAACGCCCGCCTCAAGGAGAACGAGGCGTCGTTCGCCGTCTCGCGCCGCAACAACCCGCTCATCCGCTACGACACCAACAACCTCGCGTCCAACTCGCCCATCGAGGACGACTCGTGCTGCGTCATCCTCGAGCGCGACCAGCAGAGCAAGGTCCAGGGCGACCTCGTCTTCTTTGGCGTGTTTGACGGTCACTCGGGCTGGCAGACGTCGCGCCTCCTCTCGTCGTCGCTCGTGTCGTACGTCGCGCGCGAGCTCGACCTCGTCTTTCGCGGGTCCGACCCGTACCTGTCGCTCGTCAACCCTCCCTCGTCGTCCTCCTCGTCCTCGTCCAAGCCCTCGATCTGGTCCCTCTTCTCGTCGTCGCCGCCCGCGCCCAAACCTCAGCTCGACAAGCACGACCCCATCATGCAGGCCGCCATCAAGAACGCCTTTTCCAAGATGGACCACGAGATCGTGTCGGCGCCCGTCCGCCTCCTCGACAAGCTCCAGCGCGAGGGCAAGCTCCCGACCGCGTCGACCAAGGGCGGCGCCGTCATGGGCATCGAGCAGTCCGAGGCCCTGAGCACCCTCCTCCCCGCCCTCAGCGGCAGCTGCGCCCTCCTCGCCTTCCTCGACGCGGGGCGCAACCGCCTCCACGTCGCCGTCACTGGCGACTCGCGCGCCGTCATGGGCGTGTGGGTCCCCGACCCCAAGCGCGAGGGCGGCGGCGGCAAGTGGCGCGTCGAGCCCCTCTCGGAGGACCAGACGGGCCGCAACCCGAACGAGGTCGCGCGCGTCCAGGCCGAGCACCCGTCGAACGAGCGCGACACGGTCATTGCGCGCGGCCGCGTCCTCGGCAGCCTCGAGCCGACGCGCGCGTTCGGCGACGCGCGCTACAAGTGGCCCCCTGGGACGCAGCAGAAGCTCGCGCAGGCGTTCCACCCTGGGTCGGTCCGCGGCCCGCCGCGCAACTACCACACCCCGCCGTACGTGACGGCGACGCCCGAGGTCGTCACGGTCGACCTGTCGGCCGGCACGAGCAAGGCCCGCAAGGCCATTGGCTCGTTCCTGCCCGTGTCGAGCCCGGAGGAGCCGCCTGCGACTCGCTTTGTCGTCCTCGCGACCGACGGCCTCTAGTGCGTCCCCTCTCGCTCTCCCTCCCGCGTCTTTACGAGCGGTTTCCTGACTCGTTCTCGCCCTCTCTCCCTTCCATCTCTGCCCCTCTCTCCCTCGCCCAACCTCTCGCTCCTCTCCTCGTCTCCTCTCTCTCTCCTCGCGCCGTCTCTCCACTCGGACCCTTCCCTCGCCACCTCGCCCTCTCCTGCCCCGCAGCGACCGTCTCGACAACCAGGAGATCGTCTCGCTCGTCGGCGCCCACCTGTGCGGCGTGCGCGGCACCCAGACGCGGCCCTCGGTCCTGTCGCACTCGGTCGACCCGACCGCCATCTCGGGCCCGCACACGTCGCACGTGCCGCGCCAGGAGCCGACGCGCGGCGAGGGCGAGGTCTTTACGTTCGAGGACACGGGCAACCTCGCGACCCACTTGATCCGCAACGCGCTCGGCGGCGCAAAGAGGGACCAGGTGTCGGTCTTGCTCAGCATCCCGGCGCCGTTGAGCCGGCGGTACCGCGACGACGTGCGTCCCACTCTCTCTCTCTCTCTCGCGCGCGCGCGCTTTCTGTCGCCTTGTGTGCGCCCCTCCTGATGCCCCTCTCGCCCTCCTGCAGATCACGTGCACCGTCATCCTGCTCGGCGATGCGGCGCGCGACGGCGAGGGCGGCAGCGGCGGCGTGTACAGGCGCGAGGAGGGGTTCGACATCCCGCTCAAGGCCAAGCTGTAGAGAGCGGCCCTGCAACGTTGCATGCATGGTCTCGAGCCTGAACTCGAGAGTGGCCTTGCGTTCATGCTGTGCCCGAGGAGGTCCGAGCGAGCCGAGAGCCGAATCTTTTGGCCTGTGGCAGTTCCTTTTGTCGCACCTGTGCCTCTATCTGCGTGCATGACAGCCGCTATCAGACTAGGAGCGCCGTGGCTCGGTACTGGAGCTCAAGAGAAGGAGCGACCGAGAGCAGCAGAAAGCGGCTCCGAAGCCGTCACAGGAGCCCTTCTCCAAGACTGGCCCTCGGGTCGAGTAAACCCTTGCGCCCTGCTCTGTTGGCCCAGGTTGCGGTGACATCCAGGAAGCAAACATGTCCGCTCTGGCAGCTCGAAAGCGACGCCGGCGGGCGGGGGAGTGACGTGCCCCCTCAGCTGTTTGCGTCTCTCCCTTGCTCGTGCCTTGCTTTGAGACGCAGCTTGCCCTCGAGCTATTGCAGGCGTTGCGTCGAGAGGCTTGAGGCTGGGAGAGCGCAGGGAAGCCAAGGAGCGGCAGCAGGGTCCAAGCGGACCTTCTCAAGTGGAGACCTGCCAGTGAATGGCCACCGCGTGATCCTTGTCTGCGCCAGACAAGCAATTGAGTGTCAAGCAGCGCTGTTGTCACTGGCCTGCCAGCCCAAGCATTTCCAGGAACTGCTCAAGGAAAGAGCTCGCTCAGTGGCACCGCTTGAAGAAAGGTGCCCACCTAGATGTCTGGCTGACCATGTGAGCAAGAGCAAAGACAGCAAGAACAGCAACAGGCGTGGACCATTTGCAGAGCGCTTTGAGCGGTATCGCAGGGAGGACAGGAGCTGCAGCGACGCTCTCACGAGACCTCAGGCGCGAGAGGGAGAGATAGGTTGCAGAGAGAGAGAGAGAGCTACGCAAGGGAAGGAGGAGGAGCGGCCCGCCGGCCTCGGCCGCCGGCGGCGGCCCTCGGCCCTCCGGGCACAGCAGTTGATTTGGCAGAAGCGGCTTGAGCGCTTTCCTGCCCATCCAAGTCGGCGTGATTTCGCCATGCCCCTGCACCTGGACTGGAACGTACATTTTGCACTCAGGCCTTCATCACGGCTCTTTAGCTCAGCTGGGAGAGCGACAGACTGAAGTTCCGGTTCACTCCGGCGCACAATTCTGCAGGTCTCCGGTTCAATCCCGGAAAGGGCCATCAACTTTTGCCTCGCACCGGGGTTCCCTTTCCTTTTGTTGGTTGGCGGCACTGTTGGCCCAGGCACAGGCGCCAGATGCGCGAAAGGCCGTCATTCAACAGGGAGACTGCCCGGAAAGGCTTGCCGCATGGACTTGTTGACACAGTGCAGGACAAACCAACCCGGTGAGCACTGGCTGCAGAGTACTGCACTAAGGCAGGCCTGCTGCACCACTCCTAGGAGGAGCCCAGCCAGGCCCCTGTGCAAGCTTGTCAGTGGACCCAAACTTTAGTGCCTCCACTCATGGGGTTCTTGGCGGCAGATACCGCCGCCGGGCACGGCGTGGGCACACGCATTGCCTGCCTCGCTATTGGGCTTGATGTAAATGTCAAGAAGCGGCCACATCGACATGAACTGGCCGCGTGGCCCAATGGCAAGGCGTCTGACTACGACCTCGCTTCGTCTTCCGAACTCCGGAGACAGCGCGCGTAACTATCAGGAGATCGTGGGTTCGAGCCCCATCGTGGTCAACTTTTTTTTTCGGGATGCCCCGGAGCCCCGGAGTCCGCCTGTAGCTCAGGGCAAGAGGTGTTTCCGGGGGCACCTCTTTCCTGTCAATATGCCTCTGCAGAGCATGTTGCAAGATTGACAGGGCTGCCGGGCCCCTGGGTGAGGGTGCGGACCAGAGGCAGCAACTTGGGAAGGCCAACTCAGACGCCCAGCTCTGCCCTTCTACTACAGCTCCATCTGCTGTACCCTGCTCTAGAGCACTCAGAATACAGTGCACTGCACAGATGCGTTGGTGTTGGGATGTCAGAGAGGCTCTAAGCTTGGCCCCAACCCCTGGCGACCTGCGCCTGCCTTTGATTCCCAAGGGCTCCGAAGCCGTGGGAGCTTCCAAATTTTTGGCTCAGATCACTCAGTACTGGTGAAGATGATGGCCACTGGTTGGGAGTGAGTGTGCTGCCATGACTAGGCTCCGGGCCTAACCCTCGCTGGGGGCAAAATCTGATTTTGGGTTGCCGGGTTTTGCTTTGCAGGTGGACCACTGGGCAGTATTACTGAGCTGTGCAGGTCCACAAGGCAGAGGTAAGCCAGCCTGCCGCTCTGCGGATCAACCTTGGAAGATCTGACTAACAAACAGGCTCACTGCTGACTTGACCTAGACCAGCCCATCCACGTGGCACAAGGTAGCTGGCAAGGTCCCAAATAGTGTCCTAGCGTGATGAGGCCATTTGAAGGGCACGCTTGTTGTCAAGCAAAAGGCAAGGCAAGGCAAGGCAAACTTGTGGGGGAGAGACTGGAGCAAACAGAGACGTGCCAGGTAAAGTGATTTGGGTGTGTTCCATTGAGCAAAAGGGCAGGGGCATTACTGGAGAAGAGGGGGAGCTACTGCACAACCACCTTCAAGATCCCTCACTGAACCTCCATCGTGTCTCGGAGTTGCCAGTGAGGCACACAACAAGATGTCGAGAGCGTCCGCAAGCAAGAGAGCGGAAGGCAGCAACGTTTGAAGAGACAGAAAGGCAGAGAGAGAGAAAGGGAAAGAGGGACTCAGCTTGAGGAGGACCAAGAGAGTGAGCTCAAGGCCAGGACGGTCCGAGCCCTTGCACATTCACTCACAGGAACAAGGCCTGGCAGCCTCCGAGCTTCCCAGCCTTGGATCTGAATACAATTGGGCTTGCTGCTGACTTGACTCTGACAAGCGCATCCAGGGGGCACAACCCCCTGGCAGCAGATCTCAACACAACCCAAATCCCAAGCTGGGCTAGGGCACAGCATGTCCAAGGCCACCACACCTGGATTTTGTAACCAACCTGCCCTGCAACTCTCCCGCGCCATCATTCACCTTGTCAAGTACCTTCCACCAACTGGACAAGCCCCTGCCAGTAGATCTTTCTGTAGTCCAAATCCTGAGCCGGCCTAAGGCACAGCATGTCCGAGGCCCCCACACCTGGATCTTGTAACCAACCTTCCCTGCAACTCTCCAGCGCCATCATTCACCTTGTCAAGTACCTTCCACCAACTGGACAAGTCCCTGCCAGTAGAACTTTCCGTGACCCAAATCCTAAGCCGGCCTAAGGCACAGCATGTCCGAGGCCCCCACACCTGGATCTTGTAACCAACCTTCCCTGCAACTCTCCAGCGCCATCATTCACCTTGTCAAGTACCTTCCACCAACTGGACAAGTCCCTGCCAGTAGATCTTTCCGTGACCCAAATCCTAAGCCGGCCTAAGGCACAGCATGTCTGAGGCCCCCACACCTGGATCTTGTAACCAACCTGCCCTGAAACTCTCCAGCGCTCCATTACCATCAATCTATACTATTATATGGACCCTGTGCTGAGCGGCAGGCTGGGAGACCTCTGCCTCATGGAGCTGCGCGCACAGACGGTTTGGGTCCGAGACGGTCAGGCTCGCCCGGAACAGGTTTGCCTCTGCAGAACTGGGCCACAAGCTCCGTTCAACCTGTAACCTAGCTAACCATTTAGAGCGTACCTTAGTCTGTTATGCCCTGCAAGGGCGGTCCAATCCGACCGTGTCACGGCTGGATGGAAGGAAAAAAAAGAAGGTGCAACCTCGGGGGAATGGTGCTGCTGAGGATGCTACCAATGCATTATCGCAAATCTGGCTCCATTACCATCAAGGTATACTATTATATGGTCCCTGCGCCAAGCGGTAGGTCAGTAGCCCTGTTCCTCATGGAGCTGCGCGCACAGACGGTTTGGGTCCGAGACGGTCAGGCTCGCCCGGAACAGGTTTGCCTCTGCAGAACTGGGCCACAAGCTCCGTTCAACCTGTAACCTAGCTAACCATTTAGAGCGTACCTTAGTCTGTTATGCCCTGCAAGGCGGCCAATCCGACCGTGTCACGGCCGGATGGAAGGAAAAAGAAGGTGCAGCCTCGGGGGAATGGTGCTGCTGAGGATGCTACCGATGCATTATCGCAAATCTGGCTCCATTACCATCAATCTATACTATTATATGGTCCCTGTGCTGAGCGGCAGGCTGGGAGACCTCTGCCTCATGGAGCTGCGCGCGCAGACTGTTTGGGTCCGAGACGGTCAGCCTCGCCCGGAACACGTTCGCCTCTGCAGAACTGGGCGACAAGCTCCGTTCAACCTCTAACCTGGCTAACCATTTAGAGCGTACCTTAGTCTATTATGCCCTGCAAGGGCGGCCCAATCCGACCGTGTCACGGCCGGGATGGAAGGGAAAAGAAGGTGCAGCCTCGGGGGAATGGTGCTGCTGAGGATGCTACCGATGCATTATCGCAAATCTGGCTCCATTACCATCAATCTATACTATTATATGGTCCCTGTGCTGAGCGGCAGGCTGGGAGACCTCTGCCTCATGGAGCTGCGCGCGCAGACGGTTTGGGTCCGAGACGGTCAGGCTCGCCCGGAACAGGTTTGCCTCTGCAGAACTGAGCCACAAGCTCCGTTCAACCTGTAACCTAGCTAACCATTTAAAGCGTACCTTAGTCTATTATGCCCTGCAAGGGCAGCCCAATCCGACCGTGTCACGGCCGGATGGAAGGAAAAAGAAGGTGCAGCCTCGGGGGAATGGTGCCGCTGAGGATGCTACCGATGCATTATCGCAAATCTGGCTCCATTACCATCAATCTATACTATTATATGGTCCCTGTGCTGAGCGGCAGGCTGGGAGACCTCTGCCTCATGGAGCTGCGCGCGCAGACGGTTTGGGTCCGAGACGGTCAGGCTCGCCCGGAACAGGTTTGCCTCTGCAGAACTGGGCGACAAGCTCCGTTCAACCTGTAACCTAGCTAACCATTTAGAGCGTACCTTAGTCTATTATGCCCTGCAAGGGCAGCCCAATCCAACCGTGTCACGGCCAGATGGAAGGAAAAAGAAGGTGCA